ATTTTAAATGCCTCATGCGCAAAATCAGTGATGGAAAAAAATGATATTTTTCGCTGTTGTTTTTAATTATTCAGACACACGAACTTCTTTTTTTGACAATTGGACAAAAATAATTTAGTTTTTTGGGACATTGTCTTTTTTTTTTTTTTTTTTACAAGCAAATCTCTTTAGTCACGTCGTTTGCAACGAACCTGCAAGTGTGATAACACACACGAGCAACATGGCCACAACATCCCATAATAGACACACGTAACCCCCCATAGTGAACGGCGTAGTTGATTAAAATCCTAACTGGTGAATTTGGAGACTTTTTTTGGGGGGGGGGGTCAACCTAGCAGGCCCAAGGACTTGAGCCAAAATAAGTGTCCGCGCATTTGAAGTGAAGTGCGGCTTTTGCAAATCAGATCTCGTCTTTCTAACGAGGTAAAGGAAGGCAGAGAGCAAAAAAAAAAAATCAGTGTGTGTATCTTTAGAAGGCATTTTGCCGAAACAATGGTCCGCGAAACGCACACACATTATGAACACATGCACGCAGCCTGGTTGATGAAGAAAGTCTTGAAATCTCAGCGTGAGTGGTGGCTGCAGATAAGGGCTCCTCCAGAGCTTTATGTAAACAAACACCACTGCGCTATTCTCTCACACAAACACGCGCGCGCGCGCGCACACACACACACACACACACACACGGAGGTACGCACTCGCACACACACCAACACACACGCTCCATCTGGAAAAGCGGGCTCTCGGGTGAAATCGTGCGCGTCGTCGCTGAGTCGTGATTGGGGAGCCCCACCTCGGCCCGGCTGGCCAACAAGCCGGCTAAGGTTACACAAGCGGCGGCCGCTGATTAACTGCCGTCTTGCCGGCAACGAGCAGCTCAGGAATCCTAACACGGAACCGGCACTCACGGATCGTAACGAGACTCTAAGCATTAGTGATTACATTCTATTCATTTCCCCACGTTGAAGGATTTTATGAGTGTGTGTAATTGACACACTTAGGGCAGGCTTGGGTTGGTTGACAGTAAACAGCCTCCGAAACTGACACATGACTAAATGAGATTTAAAAAAAAATATTTCAAAAATCAGCATTTCATACGTTTGCTACCGATCAGGGGCAGCGCTACGTGGTGGCCAGTTGTGGCTGCAGGGCCACCAACGTCACTCTCTGACCACCCCCAATCCAAGGGAAAGTTTTGATACCACTGATGTTCCTGCCATTTTTTTAAACATGGACGCATTATATTCAGGCCACTTGATACTATTTACAATTAACCTGAATGCAAATGAACACTACTGTTATGTCGCGTTTCAAATTGACGGGTTTGGAAAATCTAGGCGCTAAAAAGGGATTAAAAACATTGCATAGCAAGCAAACATGGCCGAGAAGTCTTTGTTTCTTATATCATCTGCAGTATAGACATGGGTACTGTCACTTCCATGTCCAAATTGTCAATTTCCCATTTTTTTTTCACAAACAGATTCTATGGATCAGTCCCCACGAGGTCAGTTAGTTGTGGTTCTCAAAGTGTGGTTAGCGCATCACCAGTCGTATGTGGGCTCCCTCTGGTGGTACATGAAAGAATTGCTGAACTAAATGTTCAAATTGACTTCCATTTTTTTAAAGACGGCACAGTAGATTTTTTTTAATCACAGTTCAGTTGTATTTGATTTTAAAGTACAATACATAAATGCCTCTTTTTCAGAGTTTTATTTGGGTACAATTTTTATTACATTTTGATGAGTTATACAATTTAACAGAATCCCTATTTAAGAATAGTTTTCATTTTCCAACATTGAATGGCACTGTTAAAATGCAAACTCCGAGAGTGGCTTACCGTAAGACTAAATAAAGCCTCCGTCTCATTTTTGGTGGCCTTCTGTATTTTATAAAGGTCATGATGGGGGTCCTTTATGAGCCAAATATTTTTGGAGGTGGTAGTTAGTGTATAAGGTTTGAGAACCACCATAACATGGTCTAAATGTGTGTTAAGACTCCCATCAAACGCGAGTTTGAATGTGACAGGTTCATTTGGAACACAGCCACATACGCACCCATAAGAGGGTGTGCACACTTGTGCAAACATATTATTTCAGTTGGCTATTTTTACCTGTCCTCTCGAGGACATTATTACTGTTCACTTGAGTTGTATAACCTATACAGCTTTCTGAACAGGGGTGTGTAGACCACCCATCCATTTTCTAAAACCCACACAGGCACAAGGGTATCATGCAAACTCCACACAGGAAGGCCAGAACCCGGAATCGAACCCTGCACCTCTCCACTGTGAGGCCAACACGCTAAGCAGTCGACTCAATTTCTCTAGCCCTCGTCCATCTAGTTTTCGATGGATAGATGTGAATATTTTTATTGTCCAGATCTGATATTAATTTGGGAGGGCATCTGTTTGTCAGAAGCTAGCGAGCGAGCTACAAAATGTCACGCTGACGTGTAAAAGCCAAGATTTTTTTTTAGGGGTTCGATGCAGCAATTTTACAGGGCCTTTGTGTGAAAGAGGCAATTGGATGGACAGACATCCTAAATAAGACATCTTCTCTGGGTTGTGTGTAAAAGGCAAATCCAACTTCAATTCTGTTACTACTGGCAAATTTGGAGGATCTCTGTGTGAAAGAAGCTCAAGATAGCTTGCTAGGTGCAATGTACTGCCTTTGCTGGGTTAGTTGTAAAATGCAAAGATGGCTAAATGCCCGAGTACTGGCACCACTGGTAATTTGGAAGGACTGCCGTGCGAATTACTGCTGATAGCTAGATAGCCAGCTAACATTAATATGCCACCTTTGCTGGATTATGTATAAAAGGTGGCGAAAGGCCTGATCTGTCAAGGCTCTGATGTGGAACACTTGCTGGATCTCTGTGGGAATGAGGGAATGAATCTAATGGCTGGCTGAAAAAAATTGTTTAATTGGCTTCTCTGTGAATAAGTTATGGCTCTCATTCTGCAATATTGAGAGGGTCTCTGTTTAAAAAATTCTCCTGATAGCTACATGTCACCTACCCTATACTATGGGTAGATGGGTTAGGGTTCCAAGTCTACAATTTTGCTGGATTTCTGTGGAAAAAACGCAATCATCTTGCGACAAAATGCAGCCTTTTCTGGACTATGCTTAAATGAGATATAGCTCCAAAACTGCAATTTTGCAGGGTTACTGTGTGTAAAAGGCTGAGAGTGATCTTGCTACAAAATTCTACCCTCACTGGATTATGTGTAAATAAAATGTTTGCAGAGTCTCCGTGTGAAAGCCTTTCAAACGGAGACAAAAAATGCAATAGGTGAATAAATAGATGGATTGTCCCATCTCTGCTGTGTTATGTGTTCAAGACAAAGTGTAACTGCCACATCTTCAGTTACAGCTGCCAATTTTTTTCATAATCTCTGCACAAAAGAGACTTAATGATTGGTGTCCAAATGCCAGAGGCTTTGTTGCGGCTCCGATGCGGAATATTTGCTGGGTCTCTGTGTGAAAGAGGCTAAATGGGCAATTGCATACGAGTAAAGGTTCCAATTCCGCAGCGTCTCCGTGTGAATGAGGCTCGAGCCGGACAGACTGACAGAGTGAGTCAGTGGAGTGGAGAGGATCACAAAGCAAAAGAAGTTCCTGGGGAATGTTCCTTCATTGTGTCTGACAGGAAAGCTGGGATCAACACAAGGCAACAAAAGCCCTCACCTGGAAAATGACGCCGCACGTAAACATCCAAGCAGCTATTCTGGGAACACTCGACATATTTTATTGTGACAAGTCACTTGTGGGCTTTGAATAGTGGCCAGAAATTTAGGTTACCTATCAAAGACAGCTAGGCCACAAGGTTTTATCACCCGCGCCCCCCCCAGTGGCAACTTTAGCGGCTGACCTTGAATGAGTGGCAGGCTGCACCCTGTACTGGATTGTTTGTTTTGTTTTCGTAAAAATGATCATGTTTCCTCAGCTTTATTTTTGTAAAAACGAAGTGTTAGCCAAGCAAACTATTAAATTTTTCAATGATGTGAAAAAATATGCCTTGTTTTGTGATGATAAAATCGAAATTCTCATAGCATGACGGCTTATTACTGATTTGTTTTTGAAAGAAAAAAAATCAAATGTTTATCTAACAGAACTTTTCCCTTCAATCACTTTTTTTTTGCCTTGCCACGTTGGCATTTTTTAAATTCTAAAATGTACACTCATAAAATGAAGATTTTCTTTTAACAGTAAAGTTCGTGACTTTATTCTTCTAAAATTCAAAACTAAAATGACTTTATGTCACAATATTGGAATTTTATTTTTCATCACAAAGGAAATCGCATTTCCAAACCAGGTGTAGGATAAAAATGAACATTTTAGATATGGACAAAACATGTGCTCTTGACGTCCTGTATTTCATTTTTTTTCAATGCATGTATCAAAGATCCACTAACCTAACCCAACCACAAAGGGTTTGGACCAAACAACACAATAAACACGTAACAGGACATCTTTTATGAAACTAAAATTCTCTTTTTCGTTTTGATTTATCGTAATTCTTGACTATTATTACCATCGTGCGAGCGTCCAATTTATTTTTTTTTCATTTTGCTCAGAATCTAATTTAATTAATCGGGGCCTACTGATCACATGGCAATAATACATTTTCAATCTAAAGTGAGATCACGTGGCACCTTGCCTGAAGAGTGTTGTTTGAACGCAAGGGTGACTTCACTTCCCACTTTAGAGGACTTGAGAGAGGCTTGAGAGAGAGAGAGAGAGAGAAGAGAGAGAGAGAGAGAGAAAGAGAGAGAGAGAGAGAGAGAGAGAGAGAGAGAGAGCTCTCGCCATCCGGTTTATGGTGTGCGAGCAGAAAAAAAAGAGCACGACAATGGTTTGCGCCATCGAGCCAACGCACCTCGGCGCCAATTGAAGACCGCAAATCATTGAACGGCAAAATCAATCAATCCGACGACGAGAAAGAGACGCGTTCAATGAGCAAGCCGCTTCGAATATGGACTGCACCATCAAGGTAAGGACGTGCTCGTCGTGGTCGTGGACTTTCCACGCGCACGACGCGAAGCCTTCTTCCACCCACACCGCGAGTGAGAGAGTCCCCCCGCACTCTTTCCTTCTTGTACAAAATTTCCTCTTCCTTCCCGTTCGTGGTTGTTATGTCGGCTGCTTGAATAACACAAGTTGAACCGCCGCGTTCGTTTTCTTTCCCTCTCCGTCAAACTGGCCACTCGTTAGCGTGCGCAAAACAAAACCGAACCAAAAAAAAAAAAAAAAAAACGCCCGTTTTACGCTTCTTGGCCTTCGCGCGGTTATTTCTTCGATCGATCTTTTTTTTTGTTGTTGTATCACGCAACCGTAACCAAACCGAACCGGCACGGACACCACGCGTGGACTTTTTTCAGGAGGTACGAGCCGCAATTTAGCGAGAGGCGTCGAAGCTTGCTCGCAATGGAGCTGCAGGTGTCCCTCAGGGCATCGTGGATGGGCACCGGGAGGCTAAACGTGTGCAAAAAACGGTATTTAACTTCTTTTTTTTTATCATCCTATTTTATCATGCCATTACTGTTATGACTATTTGACTGAAATGAGATGTGAGGTTAAAACCAGTGGATATGCGGATTTAAGATCGAAACGACGAAAAGACGCTTGATTAAAAAAAGATATCGTTTTCAAATCATGCTATAAAACGACACTTAACAATTCTCTATTTCACTCATCTTATTAGTTTTTTTTTGGGTGGCTTGACAAAAAAAGGGCCTAGATGTGGATAGATTGAGGAAGTCATATTTGAGATATTTTCTATAAAAAGGCGTGTCTCGCGTGATGCCCTATAATGTGACAAATTAACGAATTTGACAGTGGAAGAACGATATTTTAATTCTAATGGGTGTTCATGTTGGGGGGGGGGCTGTCACATGCACATTCTTTCGCACACAATGGCCTGCGCAAAGTTTTCTCTCGCGTCGATCGTGTGTGTGTGTGTGTGTGTGTGTGTGTGTGTGTGTGTGTGTGTGTGTGTGTGTGTGTGTGTGTGTGTGTGTTGTGTTGTGTGCGTTTTTGGTGGGGTTTATTTTAAGTCTAATTTATAGCTGCAAACGGGAGCACTCGTCAGGTGTCGTTATCTCAACTCTGCAGGCTTCCTGTCTCAAACCTCAGACTTTCCGCACATGTTTCCGGCTGCCTGGACCATAGAGACACGCAAAGTTTCAAACATTATTATTTTTTTAAAAAGTGCATTAAAAACCCTACGAAGTTTTTCCTGCAAAATGAAAACGTTTGGTTGACTACTGCAGAGAAGTTTGGGCCTCGGGGCGAAAAAAAAGTTTGCAAAATCAGCTCAAGTCAACTTTTACTTCTGCTTTTTTTCCTTTTTTTTGTAGGCCTCAGACATGCTCACAACCTTTGCACAACTTCTTCGTCAGAGGACTCATACTGAGAAAAAACAAAAAACATCACCTCAATAAGTTGAGAGCATTGCTACAATTCTAACCACAAAAGGATGTGCATTTTGTTTAAAAATATTCAGCTGTAATTAAAGTAGGCTCATTAAAATGCCAAGCATTTTGTACAATTTTTCAATTTTATCCTTCATTTTCTAAAAAGTCCAAATGACCTATGATGACATTTTGTCCAAAGGCAACTCAATGTGCTTCACACAAGCCATGTTTTAGGATTGTGTCACTTTGCTGAAAGTTGCATTAAACGTTGACATTTTGTATAAAATTCATTCTTATAAGATTGCTGTTATTTTTGTCATGTTTTTAGTCAAAATCCTCCCCCCCACCCCCACCCCCCACGTACAATTACGACTTTCTCTCAATTTTGCTAACTATGCCGTTATTGTCGTGTTTTCATATTTATGCCTCGCAAAATAAAGTTTCCACCAATTTGATCCAAATAAAAATAAATTCCTTGAAAAATACGTCTTTATTCCTATTTTAATAAAAAAATATGTATTTGTCAGAAAATCACGTTATAATCGCATAAGATTTGGACTGCTCAGAATTAAAAAAACAAACAAAACAAAACAATGTTCTTGTAAAATTGCTTTTCTTCTCGGAATACTGTCTTCTGGAAGAAAAAAAATACCACTATGTCATTATTCTTATAATAGCTAAATTCGTACTAGTACAATGAAGTGTTTATTCTCTTAACTTTATGGCAATTTTTGTGACAAAAAAATCGCTGACATTTGCATCTATTCTTGTTTTTCCATTCAATGAAGATTTTATTCTCATAATGTTCAACTTCTGGTGAAAAGATGTTTGTTTCACAAATATACAATCTGAAAATGGCAAAGAAAACGTTTTCACAGTCAATCTGACATTTCTGTGAGAAAAAAAAAATCTATTGAAGTACATGTGTTATTCTTGTAACGTTACGATGCCAAAAAGCTTTTGGGAAATGATCTTTCTGCTCATGTTTGAAATTTAAGCAAAAAAAGATTTTTTTTTAAATTTTATAATAACCTCGAAATATACAGTATATCATCTCTTGCATTAACTTTTCAATAAAATTAAACGTTTTTTGTGCAACATGACATGTCTATTTTAAAAAACTTAAAATGACTTGTAACATTTACATTTTTTTTCTAACTTATACTGTACCTGAACATGAGTTCAACAAAATGTTCATAACACCTCTCGCTTATATTTTGTTGTAAAAAAAGTCCAACTTTATTCTCATAATTTTTTAACTTCATTCTCTAAGAAAAACAAAACAGTTTTCTCTCGTGCAATTACATCCACTTTTGTAATATTTTCACAAATTTTTCCTCTTGTAAAATAACTTTGGGAAAAATATTGTTAAAATTTTATGGGGATAAAATTATAGCATTTTCCCTCTAATATTCAAACTTCATTTTCAGAAAATTATGACAAAAAAAAAATCAAATCACAACATTGTGTATTGTCTCATGCATAAGTGTACGCTCTATTTTGCCTTTTCGTCTCACGTTGCAGCGGTTGACAAACAAGACAGCGGTTTTCCCTTGGGAGGTGTGCAGGAATATCGGAAAAGTGGAAAAGGGGTGTGAAGTTTAACACCTGACAATCACTTCTCCCACCCTGTTGTGTCGAAAGCAATCATTGTTGTCAACGCCTATTTTGTACGTCGCACTGGAACAACTCACTGATTTTGGATTCATTTGTGAATAAATGAACAAGAGTCCAAAACAAAATAAAACTGACATCTCCCAGAGGGGAAAAAAATTGATAAATCAACGAAACAGTTAAAGTTGCGGGCAACGTTATTTTAGTTCATGAAAATGAACAATTTTTTGGGGTAATCGGGAAAAAAAAACCGACCGACATTTGACATTTTAAAACTATAATTACACAAAATTATCCTCTCTTTTCATCTTGGAAATTAAATTTATACATGAGCTCTTCTGGGTTGATTTTAAATGTATTCATCTTGGTAAAACTTTACGACAAACGGAATACAGAAGGTTGAACAGTCGTTTGGAAGTTGTAGTTTACTGTATTACACAATACTGAATGACTTTTTACTTTATTTTATCATGGCCTCAACAAATACTCCATATATGAATAAAAAACTAAAACTAATACTAAAACTAATAGGAAAAACTAATGAAAACTGAACAAAAAGCATTTCTGCAAAAATAACAACTAAAAAAAAGCATCCATCCATCCATCCATTTTCTGATCCGCTTTTGCCTCACAAGGGTCGCGGGGCATGCTGGAGCCTATCCCAGCTGTCTTCGGGCAGTAGGCGGGGTACATCCTGAACCGGTTGCCAGCCAATTGCAGGGCAGACATAGATGAACAACCATTAGAGCTCACACTCATACCTAGGGAAAATTTAGAGTGTTCCATTAATCTGCAACACATGTTTTTGGAATGTGGGAGGAAACCGGAGTACCTGGAGAAAACCCACGCAAACACGGAGAAAAAGCAAACTCCACACAGGAAGGCCGGAGCCGGAATCGAACCCTGCACCTCTGCACTGTGAGGCCGAGGCGCGAACCAGTCGACCATCGTCCAAAACTAATTAAAACTAACTGAAATGAAAAAGCAAAATTAAAAACTAAATCGAAACTCGCTATAAAGAAAAATCCCAAACTATGATAACTGTAGTTGGGCAAGTGTACCACTGCACTTCATATTGGTATTTGGGCCTTGAGCCTTGCAACGCTTCAGTTTTAGGCAAGATGGTGTGACGCAATGCGTAGCTGCTGACATGTGTGGAAGTTGCTCTCTTACAGCAACAAGACACAACGCTTGTTGCAGATTTTCGAGGCTCAAAAAAAAAAAAAAAAAAAAAAAAAAAAAAGGCGGCAACAGCTTGGCTCGGTCTCTAGGAGGCCGTTGCGTTAGCGGCGGTTTTGTGCAGCATCGCTTGTGGTAAGTGAGAGAGTAACGGGAGGCCGACTATCGAAAAACAACAACTGCTGTCTCTACTCTTGAGGATTAGTTGCCTCGCAGGCTGTTTTTTGGTGCCAGTTTCAGGTCGCCGTTTCACTTCTGCGCACGAAAATTTGTCTAAAGAGACAGAGAGAGAGAGAGAGAGAGAGAGAGAGAGATAGAGAGAGAGAGAGAGAGAGAAAAACAGGTCACCTGCGAGAGCAAATAGCATTAGCTGTTGTCATTTGGTTTGTCTGTAAAATGGTTTGAAAAATAAAATAACATTTAAAAAGAGAGGATAATTACGCCAACGTGGCGGCGATGTGCTCGGGTGGCCAAAGAGATGAAGGGTTGAAGAGCAAAAGGAGAGCGGCGCAATGTAGGCTACGAAAGCGTATTCCGAAGCAGTATTCGCTCAGGGCCCATTTCCATGGAAACAAAGGCCAGAGTTGAAAGTTACATTCGAAGGCCAGGTGAATTTGGAAACTAGCGTGCGGTCAAGGAGAGCTGGAAGTTACGTCATATTGCCCTCAAATTCGGCCTTTGAAGGACACAGCCTTCGAATTTGGACGCAACCCATCTCAACGCCCCGTCCATTGGGCCAATTACTGTCGACTGAAAAGGATCTCGGGCTCAGCTTGCGAACGTCACACGACCTAACTCAGAAAACGGGTGAGCCGTGATGGTCGTCACCTGAGCCCTGAGCAACTGCGATGTCATTTCACTTGACAGGAAGTGGACAAATCCCTGAGATGGCTAAAAACGGGGGGATTTTGCTGCTTAACTCAATACCACTCACAAATATTTCACCAAGCATCTCTCTTACGTCTAATTGTCAACAAACTACTGCACGTTCGAAACGTGAAAATATATCACCTTAAAGCCTCCCTTTGCCTGGAATATATCCCACCAGGTCTTTAAATGCCGTAACGAGGTGCTAGCCACCAGCTAGCTCACGAGCTAATAGGCTAATTTCCAACATATCCCCATACATTTGAGCTGTTAAAATATATTTGCTGAAAGCCTACGGTGGCTGAAAAATATCACCAGGTCATTGCCGGGCTTTCCATGCCACAACAAGAGGTGCTACCCACCAGCTAGCGCCCAAGCTAACAGGCTAACAGCTAACCTAGTCATAATAAGTAAGTGGCAATTGCGATAACTCTTGGTGTTTCCCCTTTGTTATTGCCACAACAGAAGTTGTTTATAGACGTCATCTCAGATTTACAAGACGAGCAAAATCAACAACAATAGTTTGGCTGTCCGACGACCTTGCCTCTCTCATACCACCACCACCCTTGACCATGGGGTGTTTTGCAGATTTCAAATGACCCACATCTTTTTCAACTTCCTCTCCGTGGGTCTGTGCCAAAAGGTTCTGCCGCACATGGAGGCCAGGTTTCCTGTCGGCTGCTGAAAAAGCACATCGCTGACGTACGAGACCCAAAAGACAATGCTTGGCTCCTCTAAACAAACACGTTTCTCAGGCTCCGGACGTCGTCGTAGTTGCTGTGGTCTCCGCGCAGACGCATCAATGTATCGTGCCATCTTAAGCTTTGGCAGAAGAGCTGAAGGGGCTTAAAACTCCGTCGGACCCCACCCACTCTCGCCGCAAACCCAACCCTAATGTCGACTCGCTTTAACTGCGGTCAAAGACGACTGATGCTTTTCAAACACTTGTCATCTCACACTTGAGCACTTGCATTGACACCTTGCCAAATCTTTTCTAACAAGAGTTTAGTAGGAACTCATTAAAAAAAAAATAAATGTAAAAAAATTGAGTTGCTAAGATTGTAGCGTTAGCGTAGTAATCTGTATCTTTTCAACAGCATACACTCTTTTGACCAGACACATATTTACTGTAAATTGATCACCATGTAAAATCTGTTGAATAAAGTCGGGCTCAACTCAAATTGAAAAAGTCTAACAAGTGTTTTTTTAAAAGTCCTTTTGTTCCTTATTGACTTTCTGCTTCATTCAGAGTGATGGACGCTACATTTGCATGACGTAGTGTTGGAAAGGTCATGTAAAAAAAAAAAAGAATATGTTAATAAAATATGTTCTATGTGCGCCCACTGGTCTTAACACGGCAGTCTGTTTAATATTGTGTTTGTGGAATATGAATGAAGCAGAAAAATCCACCTGTTTTGATCCATCTCAGTTGTTGGCCATTTTGCCACTTGCTGTCTACTGACAATGACATCAAAGTGCCTAAAATGAACTCGAAAAGCTGTTACTGTTAGCTAGTATCTACGACTTTTATTGAGATTCTTCGCAAGACTGTAATTGGTTTTTCCTTGGTAAATGCCGCCTATCCCTGTGGAAATTGGTAACGTAGTTGTGGCGCAACCCTACTAACAGCATTATTCAAATGGGCATCAAAACAATCATTAGGATAATCAGGAAATGTGTTAAAATAGCCACTGACCCAGTGGCCGTGTTGCACAGGAAGCGCTGTCTGTGGTGAGCGAGGACCAGCCCATATACGAGCCGCCCTACACCGCCGCCATGCACATGAAGACGGAGATGACGTCGCCAGGCGGATTCAAGCAGAGCCCCGAGCCCACCGAGCCCGACTGGCCGGCCGCCACCGCACAGAAGAGGAGCGAGCACGTCAATGGAACCAAGTGAGTCAGGGCGGGGCCACAGGGGGGTGGTGGGGGGAGGAATCCGACAGGGAATGAGAGCGGGGGGCTTTGTCACAGTCCGGGGTTTTTCCATTGACTAAAATATTCCTTGGTACCGTTCCAAATGCATCACGCTTGTGGACAGAATTTGGGCATTTGGTTTAAAATCTTAAATTTCTGTCAACGTGGAAAAGTGGTGGGGAAAAATAAAAACTCCCAAAATGTCCATCAGTTTTTTGTTTTTTTTTTTTAAATCTAAAATTATTAATGTGAATGAAATAAAAAATACTACGGAAAATCATTTGACTCTAGTGGTCTAATGGGGAAATAACTGATCAAGGGATACATGAGAAGGCAATATTTTTTTAATTATTAATTTCAATTAATATTGTGATTACATAAATCTATTATTACAAAAAATATATATTTATGTACCAAATTTAATGAAATAATTTTATCAATACTGTACTAGGGAAATGCTTTCGACTATACAGTAATCGACCAAGAGGGAAATCAATGATCCATGAATACATTTAGACTTTTTTTTCCATTCCAATACTGATGATCAAGGAACCCATTTTTGCAAAGCGGTTCACATTTACGTACTGCATTTATTTTAATATTAATTTATTTACAATAGGGCTAAGCATTTGCCTATCATTGATGAGGGAAAATGATCAATTTTTCGCCATTCATACATTTTAATTCAATAATTATTAATTTATTTGAATACAATGATGAATGCTATGTATAACAATTGTAATATGATCACCATAAAGATCAGTTATCGATTATTAATCAACCAGAAAATGTTATATTTTAATCTATTCATTTTATATCTACTATTTTTTTTAAGTATAAAACAGGACTATCGATGAACTAGTACAGCTTTATTCCTTAGTCATTGTAGAATTTTTTTTTTCCCCAATTGTGATAACTTGCAATTAAAAACGAAGAACCTTTGGCAAATTAATGTGATCTTTAACCACAAACCACAAGCTCCTTTGCTGGTTGCAGCCAAGAACTGCAACTACATATTGTCTCTGTTGTTGTTGTCGTGACGTTCGGCTTGTCCCATCAGAGGTTGCGATAGCAATCACGAAAGTGATTTTGACAACAAATATATTTGTACTTGACTTCATTTTGCTTTGTCGTCGTCTGCGAGGAGAGCAATTGAGACGGGCCCCAAAGAAAAAAACAACCCCATTATTTAGCATACACCGTGAACATGCATCATGACAATATCCCTTCCATGTATTGTAGCCACGAGTCCCCGGTGGATTGCAGCGTCACCAAGCGCTCCCGGCACATGAGCAATGACGGCGTCCCGATGGCGTACCAGCCCTCGTACCCGGAGCCCCGCGTCAGCCCGCCGAACGTCACCCCTCCCAGCATTACCAACACGGAGGAGAAGCGGGTCATCGTACCGGCAGGTGAGCAGATCACCTGCCCGGGCACTCTCAGACCAAGACCCCTCCTGTGCCCCGAGGACTCGGATGTCTTTCTGTACAAACTGTGGTTATAAAAAGTCTGCACACCCCTTTTCAAATGCCAAGTTTTTCTATGTAAAGAATGAAACCAAGATAAACTTTTTCTCCCATTAATGTGACCATAACAACTTAATTGGAGGCCAAAAAAACAAAACAAAAAAAACAAAACTTTTTAGCGATGGGGATGCAAACATAATCAATTGAGATAATGTGGTTGCACAAGTGTGCACACCCTCATAAAAAGGGGATATGGCGGTGCTCAGAATTAGCCAGTCACATTCAAACTGCTGCCTCTAATCAAAGCAGTTCAGCTGTTCTAGTTGACTTTTCCTGAAATTAAGTCTTATAGCGGAGGCCACAATGGTGGAAAAATGTTTGATATTATTGATCTTGGTCCGTTTTTTTTTTTTTTAAATTCAGAAAAAAATTGAACTGCAACCACAATATGCAAATCCTTTTTACTTGCCCTTTTGGGAAGGGCTGAAGAAGGCAAAGGTGGTTTAGTTAATATTTGTTCAGATTTTTCATTATTTTTTTTTTAGATACAAAATATTTTGACTACATTTTGGGGGGTTTATTTAATTCATGTTTGCCAGACAAAATTCAGTTGTATTCTTCCAGTTCCGTGTGAAAATCCAAATTAACTACAAATGTAGGAACAATGGAGAATTTTAACAGTTTTTTTTTTTCTATTTTTTTATACAAATTTCCTCTTGGAAAGTCAATTTACAATCACTTCCTAAAATGCCACAATAAGTTTTAGGTTACTGTGACTGTTTCAGCTCATTCAGAAATGTGATTTTTTTTTTTTTTTTGGGGGGGCAACTCTTGAAACCGACCTCAACAGTCTGCGCCAGGCTGGTCGATGGCGAGTGTTGCAATGAGTCAGTCGTACTCCCCCCCTAATTCAAGTCGCTGAGAAATCTGATGAGACTCACCGAGGAGTCGCTCGTTGCGTCATAATACATGGATATTGCTTCACAGCGGCGTTCGTGTAAACAATTGGGAACAACTAAAAGACGTGTGAGGACGGCGTCCGCAGCACATGATTACGGGCAACTCAAAGGTGCGCTCATTGTTTTGCGACTGGAAATGACTCACCCCTTCCTGCGGTGACACATTTTGGATTGGACATCGTCATTTTATCACAAAATTGAATGTGACGCCAATTTTAGTCATATAATCAAACTACTGTGAGGCATTTGTGAACATGTCCAGTAATCATGACTGTGGCATTATCGGCCACTTGGGTGTCTCACATGTAGTGTTGATGGATTACTATGTCCAAGACTCCTGTGGCTGCCACACCTAGATGTGTTTTTTTTTCTTTTTTTAAATAGACCGTTAGCTATTCTTCCAATTATGCTCCCATTGAACTTTGCTAAAATTCAACATTTGTTTTCTTTATAATGGGCAATGCAGGCTAAGTGGAGGAGAATGAAATCCAATTTGAATTAAATGTGCCGTGTCAGAAGTTGTAAGCTTTACCACAGACACTTGAACAGTCAACGTGTTGAGACATTTCAGGATATCTGCAGGTTTAAGGAAGATAAATTTGAGAATTTGAAGACCGTTTTTGAAGCCACCTTCAGAAATATCCCTAAATATGACCAGCTGGAGTGGGCAACGTGGGCTTAATCTTTTATTGCTATATAGTGTGAGACTCTCAAACATTGGATTAAAGGATAAAATAATAATAATAATGTCATTTTCAAGAAAAATGAAGGCCTTAATTTTTGAAAATTATAATCATGTCCCTGACAAATTCCTTCACGCTCATAAGGATTTTATATTTTGTTCCCTAAAGAGTTCCCCATTTCACTGTGACAATATAAGCATCAAACCTACCAGGAAAAAAAAAGACATATCTGCCCTTTTCCATTCTTCGGTAATTAGAAGTGGAACATGGGTTGGTTGCACCAAAAACACTGGTTTCTGACCAAAAAGTGGCGAAAACCAGCATTTTGTGAAAATAAACGGGCTAAGTGCAACAGTGACTTTTTGTGACACCTCCAACAATACAAATGAAATCAATACAGACAAAAGACTTTTGATTACGGTGAATTTAGAACTTTCAGAGACAAGCGAAACGAGACCCTTTTCCACGCTCATCCCTTGAATACTTGCTTGGCAAATATATCCATCGGTGGCAGTAAACACATTTAACCCAGTTTATGAATATTATAGATGTCCGCAGCAGTGAATAAGTTAATTGTGGAAATTAATTTTTTTTTGGGTGGAGGGGGGAATACATCACCATCATGATGGAAATGGCCACAGGGGTTGTGCTATAACGGTGATCTGCATTGACAAAGCTCAACTTCCCACAGTTGACATCTCGTCGCCCTTCTTAATGCAAACTACCCTCAGACTGAATCCACAGCGCTTCTGCCCGTTACCGCCAAGTTGTGCTCTCGATAGTGACTCCACTTCATTCAACAACAATAAATTCCACGCAAAAGTTCCTCCCTGAAAAATCTTAGCCATTGACAGTCGACAATACATGAAGTTTTTATTATCTACACTTGACTATCATCCCGGTGTCAGATCCCGAGGTGTGGACACAGGACCACGTGCGTCAGTGGCTGGACTGGGCCATCAAAGAGTACGTCCTGGAGGAAGTGGACGTCATGCTCTTCCAAGCGCTGGACGGCAAGGCCCTGTGCAAGTTGACCAAAGAGGACATGATGCACCTCACGTCCGCCTACAACGCTGACATCCTGCTCTCGCATCTCAATTACCTCCGGCAGAGTAAGGCCACGCCCCTTCCTCACTCAGGCTATTTTTAAGGCATACTAGCAAATATATTCATGCCCACCCCCCCCCAAAAAAAGTGTGAATGATTAGATTATATTGGTTGCAACCAAGTAGTTCACTTATTATGCCTCAGTTGCTTCAAGACAATGAAAATAATTAACTATTTGCATCAGACTGGACAAAACATTCACAGTCTTGGTCTTTCCGGCAGGTAGTCCCACTTTCTCGTACTCCACGACGACCTCCACCAACACGCCGCCACCGCCGGCACCACCGCAGCCTCGACTTCAGGTCAAAGCTGGTGAGACTCGTCTATTTGCTATCGGCGTTTTGCATGTGATCAATAAAGGATCTACCTACAGGCTCAGAAAAACGGACAAGGACTCATCATTGAGTATCGACACTGACAATCATTGGATGTTTGGCTCGATGGTTTGCTCAAACTGGCTTGGTCATCCATCAAATCAGAGCAAATCCACTCCAAAATGTACTTTTAATACACCAAATTAGCGGTGTTAAACTTTACATATTTCCAGTAGTAGAGTGTTAGCCTTGATGTCCACTTGGCAGAGACTGAACACCACTGTGTTTGTTTACCGAGAAGACGTGCAGGCTAAAACGCAAACGTCCATCCAACCTGTTCAATGTCACTAAGTCTCCTGACCACAAAAACAACCAAAAAAAGCGCAACGTGCCATTCTTGCTACATCTCAGCAGTTCCATTACTTGTGGAGCTGCATTTCTGTGTATGAATTTGAATGAAAAGACAGTGGTAGCTCTACTTACGAACATTTTTGAATGATTGTTAAAAGCCGACAAAAGCAAACGTCCTTGGATCAGTTCTTGACAAAACACCAGGCAAAAATCACTTCTGAGAGAGAACATGGACTAAAGAGGGCAAAAAACGGTGAGGACGCAGTTCAAAGTGTAATGACCATTTTTATTCTTCACTCTATTCTTTGTTTTTTTGACATTATGCACAACTCTCATTTATTGTGCAATAATCTAATTGTAACATGTATTTGTTCCATATTTTGATGCTTTAGAAAACATTTATGTCTGAATTTTGGCGGGGCTTGGAACGGATTAGAGCATTTACATGGAAAACGCGTCTCTACAAAATTTTCTAGTTAAGAAATTTCTTCCAGAACCAATTAATTTCATAAGTAGAGGTACCACTGTAACCATTCACGGCAATTACATGACAGCTAAAGCATAGCGTTCTTCAACGGTCGTTACCCTAATCAGAGTCACACGCTGAACAAATGGCGACCTTTAGAGCTTGCGCTGTATTGTCCAACCGGGATTCTTCATCTCAACTGTCACGTCCATTCTCAGCTTAACCTCCAAATTCTTCGCTTATCGCAAACAAACAAGAGAGCGGGAACGCGCGAGGCTTCGAGAAACAATGCGCTGAGAGTTCAGAGCCGTGTTGCATACTTTCGCGAGTCGAAAGAGGTTCCTTGGCACAACACTGGCCTCAACTGATGAATCCCAAACTCAACAGGCCGTTTCAGTCAGGAAGCAGCTGCAATGGCACAGGAAGTAGGGGGTAGAGCGGGTTCGCGGTAGGGGGGTATAGGTCGCACTGCGGGGACACGACTCACAATCTGCTGGAGACAGAGGCGGCCGAAACAAAAGAAAGCTCGCCCAAGAAACTACGGGGTCATCTCCAGACTTACTGACTTCTTATCGTCTCGCTGGCCCATTTACGGACTTCCTTCCCGCTGAAGCTTCAATGGCCACTTCAAAAGATTTTGCTGATGCTTTGCAATCACGCGTCTCATCCGCCGTACTCATCAGTCTCATTGTCTTGTTCTGCGCAGAAAGCAGTTTTGATGAGATTAGCCGCAGGAACAGCTGGACCACAAACAGCATGACCATCGTGCCCAAAGGTAAGAAACTACATTGGGGTCGAACGTGTGGACACGATTCATTTTAACGTGTCAACACGCTTGCCGTCGTCCTTCTTGCTAGGTTCCAGCATGGAGCACCAACACAGCAGAGTGACAGAACCGGTATCAAGAATCGGCCAAGGTGTGATTCATCAAAAACATGCTTCGAATAAATAAATAAACAAATAAATAAATACCATCGACTCAAAGAAACACATCATGGGTGCAGCTAATGCTAATGTAGTTATGAAGGGATCTGCCCACAAAATGGACACCACACCAATGACATAAGAACAATGAGGGGGGGAAAAAAAATTGAGGGCGAGTATGAAGGCATTTAAGTATGCACGTTCAACTGAAAATTAAGAAAATATATATATATATTTTTTTTGCTTAACTTTTGAGGTTTATTCCTTTCCACATAATTTGATGGATCTGGAAATTTTACATATGTGAACTCAACTTCAGAGGTTTCACTGGGTCTCAATGTGTAAAAATCACCATTGGTGCAGTTGAGTCAACTAATATTCTGTTTACATTTTAAACAGTCAGATTTCCACAATCCTGTGAGGAAAAATGAGTAGAGAAATCAACAAATCAACATTCTTCCAACTAGTCAAAGTTGTTGCCATGACAACCACAGTGACATGACAGTCTAGCATATTTACGAGGTTAAAACCTGACACAAAATTCTGACCTAGCACACTGTATTTCCACTGTGCATTTGCACTTACTGTAGAACAGTGACTTCTAAAATTCAACACTGTACCGCTGCTTAATATCTTGTTCTTACTCTTGACAGACCCCTATCAGACATTAGGGCCCATAAGCAGCCGGCTAGCAAACCCAGGTAAGGAGACTTTCGGACTTTCGCAGAATGAGTTCAACAAAAATGGGTGACACAAATGAGGCCTTTCCACTGTTGGCAACACACACAAAAACAAAAAAAAAAGTGAGAGCCTGGCATACAAGTGATGGGCGGAGGCGACGTCTGTGACCGTTTGCCTTGCTGTTTTCCTCACAGAAGGCCAAGGCGTCCGCTCGTCCAAGAACCGAACAGGCAGGCAAAGTTCGTACAAGCTGCCTGACCTCAGCGCCCAAAGGCCTGTGGGTAGGTCACTGTCCAGAAATATATCACCTTACTCCAAGTCACACAGTGAAAAGGTCCCATTTGTTGACTCCAAATGTGCGTTGAAACTTTCTTACTTGTGGCCTTGTTTTGAGCTTGATTTTAGTCCAGAATGTCTATTTTTTAATTTTAGGGGGCAAATATTTATTTTTTGCCAAACATGGGTGCGATTAGAATTCAGCCAAAATCAGCTTGATTTCAACAGCAACGTACTCATGAAGTCAAACATGTCACTCGAGGGAAGTTCACAATGTCAAAAATCTTCGAGGAAAACCTTTCATTAAGCTGCATGCAGCGCTTAATGGAGCCCTCTAACATCCCTTTTCACGACAAATGCATAAAATGACTTTGAGCCAGGCTCCGCCCACATTTAGAGGCCTTCAAAATGTCTACGTCAAACTAGAATGGCCGACTTTTGTTTAAAATTTGGGCATTTGTCCTTTATTTTTTTCATACGTCCTGTGACGATACGACATGTCAACCCATTTCCTGTCTATCAGTGGAACTGGTCTCATGGGCTGATTTCATTTATTTTTTTTGTATGAATGGACAAATTGACCATTGAATGGCCATTTAAAAACTAAATGTCTGCCTTCTACTTAAATTACTATATCACGATGTACATTTTGTTACCTATGCATTTGAATTTGCTTTATTCTGATGTCAGCTGCCAAGTTGGCATTGCAAATGTGAATGTGGATAAATTACAGTCAAATAAAGATGTATAATCAACCTTTTTTTTTTAACTATAGAGGCCAGCCATTAAATAAAAGGAACCTTGAGTGTCACACAATATTCCGCCTCAAACATCTGAAGAGTTTTTTTCTTCTGTAAAATACCATCCCAACAATGAAAATGTGATTTTGATGACAAACGAATATATTTACAAAAAAAAATCACCAGTGGAAGAATTTTACGTTTGAAAAAGTTTACAAACTATTTGCATGCTATTTAGTAGTCGTAGTGGTAGTATTCAGTCGTGTGTGCATGTATGAGTCCCATAAATTGCGCGTGTGTGTATGTGTATTTACATTGTCATTGCTTCTAAATATCTTCTCTCTTTGTGACACAATTTGGAGTAGATTTAACGTGACAATCACTTTGATGATTCTGAAGTGGCTGGTAACTTTGTATTTCCAAAGATCCATCCCATCTTCATTCCATTGAGACAATGACCTCAACCAAAAGAGATATAATGCTGCCATCTACTGGCCATAGTTAAAAAAAGGGGGAAAAAAAACTTTTTTAACCTGAGTTTTATAATCAAACCGGTTACCCAATCCTTTGCTCCACCCATTCCCATATTACAAAAATAAATAAAGAAATAAAATCAAATTTAATTTAAAAAACACCATACTTGACGGCAATTGCCGTCGCTCCTCGTTCGGGTTCTAGCTGACATGATTTGACATCAACGAATGAAAATAAATCATTGCAACAAATATTAGAGGGCTCAAAGGGCCAAATACAGTACAAGATCAGAAAGGCAGGATGTGGCCCACGTGCCATACTTGGCCCACCACTGCACTAATTGCATGAATAAACAAACAACAAAAACCCTACAAATATGGCTTTGATATTTCACACGTTTGGTTGTGCAAAGTTCACAGGTTGACACTGACACACAAACTACCTCTGGACAGGTTCAGGCCAGATCCAGCTGTGGCAGTTCCTATTGGAGCTGCTGTCAGACAGCAACAACGCTAACATCATCACCTGGGAGGGCACCAACGGCGAGTTCAAAATGACCGATCCCGACGAGGTGGCCAAGCGTTGGGGCGAGCGCAAGAGCAAGCCCAACATGAACTACGACAAGCTGAGCCGCGCCCTGCGCTACTACTACGACAAGAACATCATGACCAAGGTGCACGGCAAGCGCTACGCCTACAAGTTTGACTTCCAGGGCATCTCGCAGACGCACCAGAGCCACCAGGCAGCCGACGGCGGCGGCATGGTCAAATACCAGACAGAGATGTCCTACGTGCAGCCTTATCACAGCCACCAGCCCAAAATGAACTTCATGACGGGTCACCCACCGCCCATGCCTGTCTCGCCCGGGAACTTTTTCAGCCCACCGTCCACGTACTGGAACTCGCCCAGCAGCCCCATCTACCCCGGGGGGGCCATGAACAGACATCCGGCCACCCATTCCCACCTGAGCTCATACTACTGAGCACAAACACACCCAAAGGAGGAAGATTTTTTTTTCTTTCAAAAAGGGCATTATACTGAAGTTTGGACGGACACAAGAGACGAATGGATGGTTGTATACTCGTCGTGGGATATTATGAATATACTGATGACACGCTGTATTTACTGTATTCAGTTGTTATGGAACCAAGTTTCTCTTCCCCTTGTACGGCGGACAGAAAAAGCTACACACCCGTTCAAATGACAGATCATTAAATTAAAAACTTTTTCCACTATTGTGACATATAATATGTATAACTTAAGATTTTTTTTTTTTACTTTTTAGAAAGTGGAGTAAAAATAAACAATGGATAAAATGTATCCCTTAAAACTTCTACGTGAAGGAGTTCAGAGTTAATCACATAGAAAATGATTACATAGAAGTCAGAACAAACCTGCCACCATTTTAAGTGCTTCCAATTAACATCAAATGAATTTTAGCTGTTCGAGTAGGATTTCCCAGACTTTTACTTTCCTTCAAGTGGAGAAAATGAAGGGCTTTTGCTAACACTGACTGCAAGGTTGAACTTTATGGCCATCACTACCAAAAGAACACCATACCTTCAATGAAGCATAATGGTGACATCATCATGCTTTGGGGCTGTTTTTCTTAACCTGAAACGGCGGCCTTGGACAAGGTGGAAGGAATTATGAACAGTTCAAAACAGCAGCTAATGTTCGCACAAAACATTCACCTTTCTGCTACAAAGCAAAATGAATGATGACTACAACAACTATTTGAGGTTTATCAGAGGCACTTTAAATTGTGGCAGTTGTGCACTGACTCCCATTTAATATGAGCTTGAACATGAATGGTTAATTTTGAACACAGCCACTTCCAAGTTAGAAGAGGGTGTGCATATTTGTGCAATCAAATTATTACAAGAAGATATTTTTTTCAAAAGGAAGATTTTTTTTTCCAAATCGTTTTTTATAGCTTATATCGGTCACAACGGGAGCAAAGGCTTGGAAATTATTTATCTTGCTGTAGTTTTGTTTTCCTCCATATCACAAAAAAACTGGTATTTGAAAAGGGGTGTGTAGACTTTTTGTCTCCACTGCAAGTAACTTGTTTGACAGTTGGCGGAACGTTTTTGTCATCGAAAGAAACTTGACTTCAAAGACGTTTGTAAAAGAAATTGTACAGAATATTCCGTCATGTAGCAACGCGACATTTACTCATGTTAATAAATGTTTCTTGTAGCTAAGAAAGGGACTCCTGTGGTTGCGACGTTTGGCTTTATTCGTCAAACTCAAATATATCTTCAAAGGTTCGGAGAGGTTCTTTGACCTCCTCCACCATGGCAGAACCCTTCGTCACCATCTCCTCCTCCCATTCCCAGTCCCAGTCCCACTCCACCACCTTACCCGTCACATCAGGCTTTGTCATCCCCGTGTTAGTCTTTTGTGTCGGCGCTGTGGTGGTGGAAAGCATCTCCATCTCAAATTTTCTGACAGCTTCCACTTTAGGCTCTGAATAAAAACAAATGAATGTCATCAGAATTTTATTTATTACGTACACCATCCATGTCCAAAGTCCACACCCCCTCCATGTGTTTTAACAAAGTTTCAAGGTAGTTCTATTTCCCCATGGAATCTTGTAAATACCTTCAAAGGCTTGATGAGCTTCCTCCTCCATAACAGCCGTGCCTTTCACCTGCTGATTCTCCACCTCATTCTCAACCCGCTCCACTCCTCTGCCCCAAAACGGCCACTTCAACTCTGTAGTGTCATCTGCGTCTACGATCAGTGCCGGCCACGGTGTAGTCATCCTTTGAATGAGCTCTATGTTGGTCTTGACAATGGAAGTTGGTGCTGTTGTGGTGGTGGAGGAGAACAATCGCTTCCTCTTGTGGTTTTTGAAGAGTTGCCCTCTCGGCTGCACTTTCCACCCTCTGCTGCTGGTGGTGACTTCACTCACTGGAAAAAAGAAATGTGAAAATGTAATCATGTTATTGTTATTAATGATAAATGTAAAATACTAGAGATTTAAAAAGGAAAAAAAATAGGTGGGATGATGTTTCTCACAAGCAGCAGCAGAAGAGCCACAGCTGGAGTCACAGCAGGCACACACCCAGTCCCAGCCGTGTAGCTCCACCCATCTTAAGGGAAAAAAAGACAAGCGAAATCATTATATGATTCCCATTCCTTTCATTGAATTACAATTTTTAGCATCAAATGATGAGTAACTTTCACTCATGTGAAAAATTACAATTTCCTGACTTCTTGGATGTAAAGTGCATTTTTCCACTAACATATTATAGGCACTCTTGACAATAGGTTCTTGACTTATATTAAAAAAATGTTCACATTTTTGCTATATTACAATTTATGTACTTCTTTCTACTCTGCCCCTTGTAATTCTAGTATAGTGGTTAAAAAAAAAAAAACAGACCTTCCCAAGTTGGTGTCATAGTTACAGGACTTTGCCGTCGGAGTGGGAACGTTGCTTTCTGCCGACATGGTGCAGTGCATGTAGAGCTGCGGTAAATGATTTAGAAATTCACTCTTGGCCAAATCGTTGACCTGGAATAGCCAACAAAATGTACAGTAACTCACTTGGTCCGTCATCCCTTGGAAGTAGAAAGCATCCACAGAGAATCGGACAACGTTGTGTTTGTATGGGATGAATCTGGAGCGACTGTATTTGCTTTCAATCATGCACCTTCATCATTGGAGGAAGACACCGGTAGTTAAAAAGCACCCATCACTTTCTGCTGTACAAAATCTGTGGGTTTTTTTTTTTTTTTTTTACCCAAAGTCCTTCACGACCGGAAATTGAGGTGTGGAGGTGTGCGACTTATTGGGTGTGGCATAACACGAGTGGACATAGAGCCTCATGTCTTGGGGCATGGATGGACCCTCGGCCTCGAAGTACATGGGATCACCAAGAATGTACTGATCCAACGGAGCAAGCCTTTCCCACTGAGCTGCCGATTACAACACAAGGGAATTTATCTTTAAATTTATCCCATTTCTAGTTCACACAGAAGTCTTGTTTTTTTTCCCATTCACATTGATTCTTGAAAATTATTTAAAAAGAAGCGAAGTTGATTATTTCCACAGAATTTACCATTCCGTGGGGTCAGAATGAAATTGGCTCTGTTTCGCATTGCTTTGAAGATGTGGCGCATGCGCATCTTTGGAAGGTAGCCAACTTTGTAGGAATATTGATACCTGCAGAGAAATTCAGATTTTTCATAACACTGCGCATAATGTCACTGGATCTGGACCCATGTGGTGGCAGTCACCTGGTATAATTACAGGAAACAGGAATCACAAAGGGCGCTGTTCTTCTTATGGGCCCTTGGCGCATCCCTGGGTTGTACTGCAGTGTGTTTGAATAAATCATCTGTCCATTAATCATCTGCACAAAAAGAAGTGAACTGTCAAGAAAAGAGATAAATGCCAATTGTACATGTATCTTTTGTTGACAGAATTGTTTAAACAGTGAAATCACCCATGTAAATGAGAATTATTATATAATCAGATATCTTGTTTAATTTGAATATTCATCTGTGATTTGGTTTGTTTTGTGTCAAATGCTTAAACATAAACTACAAAATCAAATAAAAAAGGGCCAAGTGACCGGAATAATATATATCAGTCAACAAACACAAATATCAATCTTGATTTTGTTGTTGAACCAAATATTCGATATATATACAGAATACGTTATAACGACCTAGTCGAATTTCAAACGGACAAAACAAAACTTTCATAAGATTTTTGGTCTCAAGGCCATTATGCGAGTAGTCGCCAGGTGTCGTTAGCCAGCAAATTAGAAATTATGCTATTCGTTAGCTTAGCCATAATATGGCTACAATTTTGGGTAAAGGTTGAAATGAGTCATCCCTCAAGGACTAATTTCTAGACATAGTGAATGAGTGTAAATTAATTCGTGGCGTCCCGTTAATCACAAACGAAGGCTCACCTGTCGCTTGGTACCACATTGGTGTAGTCCATTGAGAAAATAAACAAAATTCTTCGACGAATTTTTTGCTTGACATGTACCAAGTTTGAGCTGATAATTTATTTCCCCGCCACTCAGGATGCTTTTGGGGACCCTGACGAGCATTTTGTCCCTTTTGCACGACGTCTTCACGGTGTGATCCGCGGACGGGCCTGGAGGCCTCCAGCCAGGCCGCCCCGGGAGCAGGCGCTCTCGAACAGGCCGAGGTAAAGGCTCGAGGCCGCTGCCTTTGGCCGGGGATAAGTGCAGCTTTTCCAGCGGTGGCAGCTTGGAGTGGACGAACACGGGTAGTCTGAGATAAGCCTGGGGAAAAGTCGGCCATTCTCTTTGGAAATTGTTAATCATTGTTCGGTTTGGTCGGGTTAAAGCACTCGGGAATGGAGCAAAGGTAATCTGTAATGGGGGCTTCCCTCCTTTGTATGAGGCAAAAAGCGACAACACGGTAAGGAATGGGAAATAAATCATGCCGAAGGCGCTTATGGCTCTGAAAATGATGTAAATTAGTTTTAGTCTTGCATTAAGCGAAGTTTTTGCTGAGAAGCAGCTCGTTGCTGGCCGTCAAATTATTACACGCAACGTGAAGTTGAATGGCGCCACCGTCTGCTCATTTGATGTATCACAGTCAGGTCCCTTTAAAATTTCAAACAAATGTACGAGTTGAAGCTAACGAAATAAAATTATTTAAATGAATTAGGGTAAAATTTCAAATACAGTACATACATATTTTATTATTAAAACCTTCGTTTTATTGTTTAAAACATTTTAAGCACTTTGATTTTGATCGCTGCTACCGCCGTGTAGTTGCTTGTATCGTTTAAAAACTTTTTTTTACATTTTACCTTACAATTTAAACGATTGACGAAATTGTAGTGAGTGATATTCATAATTTTATACGAGTAAAAAAATAAAGCTTAATTTAAAAAATTAATAATTTTGAACACAAAATCGAAAGTATGGTGGACGCAAGCCTTTCATTTTTGTTCAGTCAACCAATGTTTTTTATTAGATAAAAGTTCAAAAAATGAATTGTGTATGGGCACCAGTTTTATGAGTAAATAACTGCCAATCTTCATTTAATTGCGAGCATTTTAAAAATATTAAACAATTAAATGAGAACATACTTTGTGAGTGTGCTGCTGCAGGAAGATCGTGTGCTCCGGGATTTTTGCTTTATTCAACATGTTCCTTCATCTTTGTGGACAAAGGATTTAATTTATACAAACGTTCTGATCCGAATTAAGATTATAGGCATTGGTGCAGGTCTGCACTGTCATCCATCTTCTTTTGGTCGTCGTATTAATTCATGTTTAACAATTTTTGTTGCATTATGCCAACCAACAAGACCCTTCGCTAATCCACGGGCACGTGGACATAATACACAGACCCACACTTACGTGACACGTGCCCCCTGAGAGGTGAGAACAGCTCGTGTATTTGAGGAAAAAAAAAGAGGGGAAGAAGGGGGTGCTGGCATCAAGCATCCGGCTAAGGTCAGACACTTCGGGTGTGAAAACGCACATCCAAGGCGACGACACCCCACAACTGAAGCTTTCACTACAGCTGCTTTGCGCTCACAAAATTCAACCATGAACGACACTCAAAAGACCCTCAACTGTTTTTGTGTACGCACTGTATTTCTTTTCAAGTCGTTAAAGCGACATGGTTGGATTCGTAAATTGACGCCAAAAGTGTGAGCCAAACACATACATGCACACACACACTCCCCCAAGCGTGTTTTGTGGACTCACAGCATGATTACATTTTTATTTTATTGCTAGAAATGATCACAATCAAATGCTGTGAGTAAAACGTGCGCAAATTAGTGTTTTACGCCCGCAATAACGAACATCCACCGTGTTGTGTATTTCATTTCAAGTCTAGCCTTCTAAATTGTTATCAAATTATGTGATTAAAGCGGAAAAACGTGACTTTCGTGAATAAACACAATAAATCGAAAGTGTAAACATTTGCACGCATATGTCTGACAGCTTGACAAGTTTCCCACGGGAGATAAGAGAACATTTATGTTACGTGTTTGTTGTTTGACAATTGCCCTCGCGTGCGAACTTGCCTGCGTCGCGCCCCGTGGAATGACGCGTGCCTGTCTTTTCACTCGTGCGAATGAACGAACGTGTGACTGAATGAAGCCATTGCTGCACTTTGATGACTTCTCCCCACCACGGAAAGCGACCGGTTTCCGTTCTCCCACCATCACACCCCGAGGGCAACGTTTGTCTTCACATCGGCCTTAGTTGCATACATTGTCACACAAATTCGATGTCTTGTTCCTCTCTCGCTTTAATATTCTAATTGTCCGAAGCACCCAACACCCATGTTATTTAAAAAAAAACTGACAATAGGCTACTTCGAAAGTGAATTTTGCTTAAAAATGTTTGGAAAATAATTTCGGAAAGAATGAATGTATCAACGTAGTCTCACTATTTGTATTTAGAAGTGCTGCTGAAATGTTTGGTTGAATGAACTCGTGAGCGACAGATTTGATTTATTCATAAAATATAGACAAATACACAAACAACCCTTCGATTGACTTGGTCGTTTGAGCCATTGCGTAAGTATACACCTCACGTTGGCTGAATGAATAACACTTCATTTATGGCTTCCTGCACTAAAGGATTGAGAAGGGTTGCCGAATGGCGTTCCCACAGGACACACTTTAATTGTCCCTTCTTTCCACGTAGGTGTAGACAACGCGTTACAACCCGCTCTCGACATATGCGCCACCATTTGCATCTGTGGCTGAATGTGTGGGAACCCCATCTTACAAAACACACACACGCTGGGAAATCATTTCAGCAACCAATTTTAATTGGTGTTTATCCGAGCCAGTTTAAACGGTGGCAGGTGTCTGATGACAATTTAACATGAGTTGACATGCCCATATTGAAAGAAATGATTCCAGTTTATTTTTTGTTCAGCTCATGAAAAGATTTAATTTTCTCCGCAGTTGTGCGGGTTATAAGTCACTTTAAATGGTGGGGAAAAAAAACTCATTTTTAAATAGCAGAAAAACCTGGCATTTGGACAAGGGTGTGTAAACTTCTTTCACTACATCGACCACATGTCTAAGACATCAGAGAGATCCAGCCCCCCACATCATTTAATTTTCTCCGCAGTTGTGCGGGTTATAAGTCACTTTAAATGGTGGGGGAAAAAAAACTCATTTTTAAATAGCAGAAAAACCTGGCATTTGGACAAGGGTGTGTAAACTTCTTTCACTACATCGACCACATGTCTAAGACATCAGAGAGATCCAGCCCCCCACATCATTTTATGCGGCCCGTGGGAGCAAATCTTGTGTGTCAACAATCATGATTGTTGCTGAAATCTGTACCGAAATGTCAAAGTGTCATGGGTAATAATGAGATTTTCCTCCGGCCCTTCGAGGGAAGCCGTAACACCGAAGTGGCCCGTGACAAAAAATGAGTTTGACACGCCTGATATAGAGCATATGTATTGGGATTGGTTTCATATATGACTGATCTGTGCCTTTTAAAAGTGAACTTATTACTTGAATTTAACTTTGCCCACCGTGGCGATAGTGTATGCATAATAACTGCTTTGCTTAATTCCAACTACGTCTCTGTTGGGACATCAAGACTAATTTAGTCACACTCCAGGAGAAAGTAAGAAGAAAACACACACATGCCATTTGATTGAATTGGAATGTTTATTTATGGGAGGGGTGGGGTCGGACAACAACAATAGAGGCTCACCATAGGGAGACATGGATAATAAGTTAGTGTGCAAAATATACAAGTTATATATTATCATTAGGAGGGATCACAGAGGTTGTTCATGACTCATGGACGTGAGGGTGGGGCCCCTCGTACTTTAAAGCAGCTGGAAATGAGACGGGACACTTGATTATGATCCACACTCCCGTTATTATGTGTGTGTGTGTGTGTGTGCGTGTGTTTGTGTGTGTGTGTGCGTGACAACTCACCTCTGAAGTGGACACATGGTGGGCGCCAGCATCCAGCTCCCCATCCCAAGCGGCACTATATCTACATCTATAGTGGGTCGAGTGGTTCACATATATACACAGCAGCGTACAAACGACGTCTTCAAACTATTTACACCATCAACTTGACAGATAATGTATACATAGGGAAGGGGCGGGGGGGTTCAAAGTTCATTGTTTATGGCCACGGCCTCCACACACTCGGGCCAAGTGAGGGGCCCTCTGCCGGGGGGCTCGCCATGCACGTCCCCAGCCAGTTTTGCCCCTGCGGGGTTCATTTATTACTGTTAATTTAATATCAGGTACACATTTTCAATATTATGTCATCATTAGAGTGGAACCTATATCAGTTGATTTTGGGCAAAAGGCAGGGTACACTGATAGACAATCATTCATATTAACACCTCTGCATAATATAGTCTTCAACATGAATGTTTCTTGGGATGCGGAAGCCGGGGCACCTGTAGAAAACCAATGTGAGATTTGAACTCAGAACATTGTGACTGTGAAGCAGATGTGCCAATCACTAGGTCACCTGCAGCCATTTTTTTGAAGAATGATGCTAATGTGCATGTTTTTGACCCATGAAAGAACACGGAGAACATGCAAACTCCACACAGGAGGGAAGGCCTGAAACGAGATTTGAACCCAGAACAGTGAGGTAGACGTGCTAATCACTAGGTCACCGCGCTGCCCTCAATATGACTCATTTGAGCTCATATTGGCTTTTTGTTTTTTTACCTGCTGCTCCTGTTGTTGTGGCTCTTGCATCAACATGCACCTCAAACGCTCCAGACTATGGTTCATTCTCTCACGTCGACGCTTCTCGACTTGGGATTTTATTAGCTGGAAAGCGTTTTAAAAAAATAATAAAAACAAGTCAACTCTTCTATATCCATACGAAACTAAACTCTTTCCCAACTACACGTAAATACTGCATTGTGAAAAAAAATGCCCTTTTACCTTTCTGTCACGGTTTGGGTCCTCCGCTTCCTGCATGAGCTTCATGATTCGATCTTTTTCCAAATGTGGGCTTCCTCTGGTTTCCAGAAGTTCTCAGGAAAAGGATGCGAAGACAACTGGTTGCCGATTTTATATCCTCCCTCTCCGCCTTAGCCCCTCCCATCCCCCCCCCAACAGCCAATCACGTGGCAAATCCACATGGGTGTCACGTCGCCACAGATTTGAGTTTTTTAGATTGTATTTGATACTATAACAAGTGAGCTACCGCTAATTATCTCACCATTTAGTGCAATAAATCCGCTTAATGATTGAAGATGTACAAATAGATAATAAATTCAGATGTCCTTTGCGAAGTACCCAAGCAAACTCTGAAATGTTACCCCGGCCGATAGCGGCCTCAGGTCGGTCACATTCGCTGACACTGGCTCTTACAAACAAACTCTGGTTCTTTTTTGGCTCCTGAGCGAAGTACCCAAGTAAGCCAACTCGAATTGTTGGATCCCGCGAAAGTGCTCTCAGATCGAAAGTGGCTGAGCCAGACAATCTCTGGCTCTTTACATGTTACATAAACTCCAGAGTGCGGGGCCCACGCCTGCTTGGAATGTTGCCCGTCAGAGTCGCCTCCAGTCGGACACACTCGCTGAGCTCGAACGTTGACAAACGTGCGTTCTTTTTTCATGTTCAGAGCGCAGTGCCCAGGCGTACTGTTTATTTATTTATTTAATATTCATTGTTGCGATCGGATGCAAATGTATTTTAGCGTGTGTTAAGAAACGTAATTTGTGCAGCAGAGGTCCCTTGGAGAAGTGGCGTATTTTTAAAAATTGCTTTCAACGTCCCCTCAGGATGTTGGCCACCTCTACTAAAATCGGCGACATCCTTAGTTAAACAGGTCATTCATTTCTACCCCTAAAATGAAATTATTAATAAATACGGACAATAATATCATATAATTAGTATTTTTGTTCGGTTTTTTTTTTTGTGTATGTTCGGCGAAGTATTGCCATATGAGAGCGCGAGAGATTATTCAACATATATCAGATTTTTCAAGGAGCAAAGCAACCAAATAAATATTTGAATATACAACCCAATTGAGATGAAGGTATATTTATCCCGTGCAAAACCTGATATTAATTCTTACACTATAACAAATAATTACTCCCAGGCGAACTGCAACAGCTTGCCTTTGTATTTGCCCCTTGCCATGCGCATGCGGGCTGGTTCTTTTTTGGCTCCTGAGCGAAGTACCCAAGTAAGCCAACTCGAATTGTTGGATCCCGCGAAAGTGCTCTCAGATCGAAAGTGGCTGAGCCAGACAATCTCTGGCTCTTTACATGTTACATAAACTCCAGAGTGCGGGGCCCACGCCTCCTTGGAATGTTGCCCGTCAGAGTCGCCTCCAGTCGGACACACTCGCTGAGCTCGAACGTTGACAAACGTGCGTTCTTTTGTCATGTTCAGAGCGCAGTGCCCAGGCGTACTGTTTATTTATTTATTTAATATTCATTGTTGCGATCGGATGAAAATGTATTTTAGCGTGTGTTAAGAAACATAATTTGTGCAGCAGAGCTCCCTTGGAGAAGTGGCGTATTTTTAAAAAATGCTTTCAACGTCCCCTCAGGATGTTGGCCACCTCTACTAAAATCGGCGACATCCTTAGTTAAACAGGTCATTCATTTCTACCCCTAAAATGAAATTATTAATAAATACGGACAATAATATCATATAATTAGTATTTTTGTTCGGGTTTTTTTGTGTATGTTCGGCGAAGTATTGCCATATGAGAGCGCGAGAGATTATTCAACATATATCAGATTTTTCAAGGAGCAAAGCAACCAAATAAATATTTGAATATACAACCCAATTGAGATGAAGGTATATTTATCCCGTGCAAAACCTGATATTAATTCTTACACTATAACAAATAATTACTCCCAGGCGAACTGCAACAGCTTGCCTTTGTATTTGCCCCTTGCCATGCGCATGCGGGACCACTTGAAACGAAGACGTTAGCATTCACACTTGCAAACCCACGCGTGCCATCTTGCATGTGTGCCGCGTGCTGGCGCGCCAAATTGTCCACGCGTGGGTGCGAAACCCTTTCAAGTGGACTCGCGACCGTGGGAGAGCGACGCCACTGTCCCAAAGACCCCCAAAGTGTGACAGTGGGAGAGTGACCAGCAGACGCTTCTCGCCAGGGGAAGTGTGACTGGTTCACACTTGAATCGAAATGACGTGCACGCGTCATTCCACGGGGCGCCGCGCACTCATTCGCACGCGAAGGCAATACGATTTATTCAGGAGAAACGTGACATGAATAAAAAAATAAGTGGATTGATGTATCAATGTACCGCATGTTGCACCATGACGTGGTTTTGCAACAGATCACTACAGTGACAGTGTATACAACATTTTACGTTTACACACGGATTTTGGTTGCAATAATTTAATTTTAAAAAAGTTTAAAAATATTTGATTGGAAAATTATATGTAAAGACTAATCTAGACTTTCAGATGAATACAGTACAATACAGTGTCGTTTGAGTTTGGTGTGCGTAAAACACTTATACGCACAGCTTCTCCCACGCGTGTTAATACTGGATAACTGCTCTAGATGAAAATGCAGACTTGCAATGCAAGTCCTAATTTTGAATCCAAACCTTCATTAAAATCAAAGCATCTTTCACCGACGGATTAAAGAACGTGTTGGTCGGGATAGAATCTCAGTTTTTAAAAAAATGAAAGCAACATCTTATGTTCTTTTTTTGCCTTTCGAGGAAATACGTGAAAACGTTAAAAGGAATGCTTAATTGAGAAACTAGCTCAACTGAGGTTCCTACACACTCACCGGAGGATGCAAATGGTGGCGGCAGTTGTCGAGAGCGTGTTGTAACCATCGAGTTTTTCTACACCTCTGGAAGGAAGTGGACAATGAAAGTGTGTCCTTGTGGGAACGCCATTCGACGGGCCTTCTCATTCTTCTAGTGCAGGAAGCCATAAATGAAGTGTTATTCATTCAGCCTAGGTGTCATGTTAATGACACGATGGCTCAAGTACGAAAAATTCAAGTTGTTTGTGCATGTATCAGTATTTTATAAATAAATACAATTTGTTCCTCACGATCTTATTTAATCAAGCCTTTTAGCACCACCTATAAACACCAACAGCGAGTCTACAGTGATAATGCATTTCGTAGTTTTCGAACTTTTGGTCTAAATTGATTTGGAAGGAGGCAACCTAAGTTTTTTTTTTTTTTTTTTTTGATGAAGGTATATTTATCCCGTGCAAAACCTGATATTAATTCTTACACTATAACAAATAATTACTCCCAGGCGAACTGCAACAGCTTGCCTTTGTATTTGCCCCTTGCCATGCGCATGCGGGACCACTTGAAACGAAGACGTTAGCATTCACACTTGCAAACCCACGCGTGCCATCTTGCATGTGTGCCGCGTGCTGGCGCGCCAAATTGTCCACGCGTGGGTGCGAAACCCTTTCAAGTGGACTCGCGACCGTGGGAGAGCGACGCCACTGTCCCAAAGACCCCCAAAGTGTGACAGTGGGAGAGTGACCAGCAGACGCTTCTCGCCAGGGGAAGTGTGACTGGTTCACACTTGAATCGGAATGACGTGCACGCGTCATTCCACGGGGCGCCGCGCACTCATTCGCACGCGAAGGCAATACGATTTATTCAGGAGAAACGTGACATGAATAAAAAAATAAGTGGATTGATGTATCAATGTACCGCATGTTGCACCATGACGTGGTTTTGCAACAGATCACTACAGTGACAGTGTATACAACATTTTACGTTTACACACGGATTTTGGTTGCAATAATTTAATTTTAAAAAAGTTTAAAAATATTTGATTGGAAAATTATATGTAAAGACTAATCTAGACTTTCAGATGAATACAGTACAATACAGTGTCGTTTGAGTTTGGTGTGCGTAAAACACTTATACGCACAGCTTCTCCCACGCGTGTTAATACTGGATAACTGCTCTAGATGAAAATGCAGACTTGCAATGCAAGTCCTAATTTTGAATCCAAACCTTCATTAAAATCAAAGCATCTTTCACCGACGGATTAAAGAACGTGTTGGTCGGGATAGAATCTCAGTTTTTAAAAAAATGAAAGCAACATCTTATGTTCTTTTTTTGCCTTTCGAGGAAATACGTGAAAACGTTAAAAGGAATGCTTAATTGAGAAACTAGCTCAACTGAGGTTCCTACACACTCACCGGAGGATGCAAATGGTGGCGGCAGTTGTCGAGAGCGTGTTGTAACCATCGAGTTTTTCTACACCTCTGGAAGGAAGTGGACAATGAAAGTGTGTCCTTGTGGGAACGCCATTCGACGGGCCTTCTCATTCTTCTAGTGCAGGAAGCCATAAATGAAGTGCTATTCTTTCAGCCTAGGTGTCATGTTAATGACACGATGGCTCAAGTACGAAAAATTCAAGTTGTTTGTGCATGTATCAGTATTTTATAAATAAATACAATTTGTTCCTCACGATCTTATTTAATCAAGCCTTTTAGCACCACCTATAAACACCAACAGCGAGTCTACAGTGATAATGCATTTCGTAGTTTTCGAACTTTTGGTCTAAATTGATTTGGAAGGAGGCAACCTAAGTTTTTTTTTTTTTTTTTTTGATGGCATGAGCGGCGGGTACTTGAGCCTATTAGAATATTAAAGAGAGAGAGGAAAAGACATCGAATTTGTGTGACAGTGTATGCAAACGAGGCCGAGGTGAAGACAAACGTTACCTTCGGGGTGTGACGGTGGGAGAACGGAAAGCGGTCGCTTCTCGTCGTGGGCACAGGTGTGAGTGAACAAAGTGGAGCAATCACTTCAGTCGGTCACACGTTCATTCCTTCACACATGTGAAAAGACAGCCACGCGTCAGTCTACGGGGCGCCGAGCAGGCAAGTTCCCGAGCGAAGGCGATTGTCAAATTACAATGCATCGGCTCACAGACGAAATGTACGAAATGTTATTATTCCAAGTATTCTACTTGGAATGATAACATATTATAAAATGTGACTAATGGATCATCATTCGCGTGTTTGAGAGCACAAACGCGTAAAATAAATGTTCTCTTATGTCCCGTGGGGAAACGTGTCCAGCATTCATGTATTTGTGTGCACGTGTTTACACTTTCGGTTGAGTTTATTCACGAAAGCCGTCCTTTTCGCTTTAATTACACGGTTTTATCAACATTTAGAAGTCTAGACTTGAAATGAAAGACGCAACACAGTAGATGTTCGCTATTGCTTTTTTTGGGAACGTTAAATTCAGTCAAATAAAAATGTATGAATATGTGAGTCCACAAAAGATGCTTGCCGGGAGATGGTGTGTCCATGTGTGTGTTTGGCTAACACTTTCGGCGCCAATTCACGAATCCATACATCCGCAAAAAGACAACCATGTGTTTTTCAAGACTTGAAAAGAAATGCACAATGACAGTTGAGGGTCATTGAAGTGTCGTTTATGGTTGATATTTGGTGAGCGCAAACAGTGCCACGCAAAGCTTCAACTGTCGCGATATTCCTCTTTGAAGTGCGTTTTCACACAGTTAGTGTCTGGTCTTAGCCGGATGTTTGATGCCAACAACCCCCCCCCCCCCCCCCCCCCGCCATACACGAGCTGTTCTCACCTCTCAGGGGGGCGCGTGTCGCGTGAGTGGGGGTCTGTGCATTATGTCCACGTGCCCCTGGATTTTCAGGGTCCTGTCAGCGACAAAATGTGTTAAATATGAATGAATACGACGGCTATTAGAAGATGGCTGACAGAGCAGACTTTCACCACGGCATACAAATCTGAATTCTGATCAGGACGTTTGTCCAAATTCAATCACTATTCACAAAGATGAAGGAACATGTTGGTAAATAACGTATGTCGCAATGTTAGAAAAAATGTCAAACAAACATGTTAAGTGTTCCTTTTTTTAAAATGAATGGAGCGTTTTTTGTGTGAATATGACACACAGTCCGATCTGAAAGATAAGTAAGTGGGTGGAGCCTGTGGTGAGTTTTTATAGGTCAAGTGAAGCCTGAGGGACCGCATTCAACTTTGACTTTGTTGGACTTCAGTCATGGAAATGCCTCAGCATTGCCAGCATGCAAACACAGACAAGAAGGTACGTGGGTCATTCATTATCATGATTATTAGAGCATGGAGATGTAAGGGAATCGTATTAATGATCATCCTGAAAATGTTGATACTGTTTGTCTTCCACAGAATTTAAAACCTCTGGTGGAAAGACGACGACGAGAAAGAATAAATAGAAGCTTGGAGAACCTCAAAACTCTTTTGCTTACACCACAAGTAAATATACCGCTTACATGAGACTTTTGTATGAGCTAAAGTTAATATGTACGTGAAAATTAAAGGTACATTCGCCCTAAAGACATAATACCCTGCAAGATCAATCTACGCACATACACACAAACAAACGAACAAAAAAGCTCCACCAAGTTTAATTTTTTCACATTTTTTTAGCCTTGTCTTTCTGTTATTTTTTTGTAACTGATGTTATTATGGATCGGCAGTTGTTGATTTTTTTTTTTAGTTTTGTTCTTTTGTATTTTATTTTATTTTGTTATTATTTGGGGAATTGTTTTGATTTAAGTCTTTACCTTTCCTGTATTTTCCGCGTCTTTTTTTGTATCGCAAAGTGTGGTATACGTCTCCCTCTCGTGGTAAGCAAGAGAATTACCGAAATAAAGTTTTGTGAAGCGTTCTTTTTTAATCCAGTATAACACACTTCTGAAGTACAGTAGTTCAGTTGTATTTAAAATGTAATAATACATTTCTATTTAATGCTTTATAAATGTCGGTCATTTCAATTCGGCAACCTGGATAACCAAATATTTTTGAGATGGTATCAAAAGTTGACCTGTAAACATTAAAAGTAACTTTGTAGTACAAAGTGTAAGCATTTATTGTATAAAAAGTGAGGTTTAAAATCCCTTTAAATGCGTGTGTGTGTGCGTGCGTGTGTGTGCATCTAAAACGGTGTGTGTGTGTGTGCTGCTGCCTGGTGTTTTAACAGTTAGCTGGCGGGCGCAGGTTGGAGAAAGCAGAGATCCTGGAGCACACGGTCTTCTTCCTGCAGCAACACGCCAACAAAGGGCACACGAAGCAGGTGCCGCACTCCTACCATCATGGCTTTTCCTCCTGCCTGCAGAGGGCTGCCCACTTCCTACGATGCGAGGGCGAAGGTGTGGCCATCGTTGACTCTTCATCCTCCTCTTTTTCCTCATCGTCGTGCCCCCCTGGCTTCCCTCCGGCTCTCGGGGGTCCTTCCAAGAGCGTCGTTCGCAACACGATGCCCCAAAAGAGACCCAGCACGGCGGGGAGCTTGTGGAGACCCTGGACCTGATTTCCAACATGAGGGGGACAATGTCAGTGCAATAGAATGTACAACTCCATATTTACTGTCATTTTAAGGACCGAAATCGACTGTGACGATGTTATTCAACGCATGTTTGCACCTTTAATTTATTTAAATGTCGTGTGTAAATAAACCAAATGGGGGGAAAAATCACTTGTCATGTTGAAGTTCTATTTTTTAATATTTTTTTTAATGCTATAGCATTTAAAATATATTTCTGATCCATTCATAAAACTGGTGGACGTACACAAGACATTTTTCAAATTGCATCTAATAAAACAAAATTTAAAAAAATGTTATCCACAATCATGGAAAAGGACAGCATACAGTACTTCACTTTTTCAATTTCGTGTTCAAAATGCTGACACGTGCCAAAACACGTGTTTCACGTAAATGTTTGTTTAGGCTAATTTATTAAGTCGTATAAATAGATGAAAATGACACCACACGTTTACAAATTCGTTACTTGTTTCAATAATACAGTAAAATTGAAAATAAAATGTCATGAAATTATACGAAGCGAAAAGGCGGCGGCAGCAACCTAAAGCAACGTGTGTTAAAAAAATGTTAAAAGCTTACTTCTCTTCACACTTTCGTGCCGTCCTCGTTTACACTTCAATCCATGGACACGAGTGTTTGCGTGAACGTGGGAAACGTCCCCTCGCTGCTCGCACTTGTAAATGACATTTAACAGCTCGTAAACACGTCGTGGCTGGCTCTCACGTGTCAATAAAATTGATTAGTTACTTTTACGGCAGACGAGCAGCATAGACAAAAACATCACGAATGTACTTAACACATACGACACAAGAAATGTTTCGAGTACTTTCGACGTAAATTTAACGACATAACATTTAAATTACTCACACCGTTTGGGAATTTATACTGTTTGGAAGCGCTACATAAAAAAAGATGTACTGTATTGTGTTATGATTTGTTGTCCCAATCAATGGCAATACAGTACATTCAATGCTAATTTTGACACAGTTCACATTAATTTTATTCCTGACCTGCCTTCAGAGGTTTCTTTACTAATTTTCCTTACATAGTATTTACACTGAACTGCCCTGAACACATTTTCTGTGGTCTATTTGATTTCTTATTCGTATTTTTAATGTAGATGGCACTTGAACATTTACGCAGTTTGAAGATTTCATGAATACGTTCTTTCGCATACCGCTAGAGGGAGCCCGCGCCGCGTAACAGTAGTTGTACACGTATCACAACTCACTTCAATCCAAGCACTGCATTAAATCAAATGAAAACAGAATACAATGATTTTCAAAATAAGTACAACCTATATTTCATTGAATAAACTACAAAGACAAGATATTCAATGTTCAAACGGATAAATTTTGTTTTCAGCAAATACTTAATTTGGAATTTTATGCCTGCAACACATGGCAAAAATAACTGCATAAAACACAACTGGACTGGACAACTTTGTCTTTTAGCTTTGTATTTTAATTACTGTTGACACAAACTTGGAGTTGTACCAGAACGTTGTTGTACAATTCCAAAAAGGCTTTCTCAACAATGATATATTCTATATGGCCCCACTGGTATCAACACGATATTCTGAGTAGTGTTCCATTTGTTGGATTTGAAATAAACACAAAAATCCACGTTTTGTTGTTGTTTTAATCTGGTTTTCTTAGTCATGTGACGTTTACAAACTGAGCCGCGATTATTCATTTCCTTTGACCTGAGCAACAGTGCTTTTTCAGTCGACAGCAAGTGGCAAAATGGCCACCCCAAAAGGTGGATAAAAACAGGAAGATTTTTCAGATTAATTTATATTCCGCAAATGCAATATTAGTCAGAATATCATGTTTAGATTAGTTGGGCCAAATAGAAATATGAACACCAAGTCTTTGAATTGACCTCCCCATTAAGCTCAATGCCGCCATCTACGGGTGGAGTGTCTGAAGCTCACTTGAATTAAATGTTGGCTTCCCAACACAAAAGAAAAACAACAAAAAAGTAAGGCGCAGTTCATAACTTGAAAAACGCATAAATTGGGGCACTTGTAAGTCAAGGCACCACTGCATTTGCCCAAAATTCCTCAACTTAACTTCCTATAGAAATTTTCCACCCCTTTGCAATCTTATTCTAAACACACTCAACCCGTTGCTTTTTATCAGATGGATGCTTTCAAGTCTCGAGAACGTCCTGTGTTGCGCCCTCCGCCCCTTCCTCTACCGCCGCCTCCGCCTCTCTTCCTCTTGTATGCTCCCACCTCCTCCTTATTATCACGAGTCCACAGGTTGTCACAGCGTCCGGGCGCCTGGTACCCAGGCAGGCTATGATCCAGAGGGTCCTTAGAAAGTAGAATCCAGATGACGGGCAGCTTCCTGCTAACGGTGATGCTGTCCAGTCCGACGGCCGGCTCCAGGGGATCCCACACGTCTGTCAGCGTGGAGCTGGCCAGCGAGGTCAGTTGATGGAGGCCCCGGACGCGTCGTTTAACCACTTCGGCGCACGTTATGGCTTTCGACACACCCTTGCCGCTGGCCGTGAACACCAGCTGGCGGCAGAGGGGACGGCTGGGCGGATCCTCGTTGACTTCGCCGTCTCCCCCGCCGTCATGTTTGTCTACCTGCGATTTGGCCTCTATGCGACTCAGGGCGTAGCGGAGCAGGTTGCGGATCTTACTGCCGTCTTTGACGCGCACCTCCGGCGTGTCGGGGACAAGGCTGAACGGACACACGGATGGCTGCTCTGTGCTGCGACCTTTACTGTAATTCTCCATCTGCAAACATAAAACAATGATTGACTATTATCCCAATTCAATTACAGTAAAAGTCAAGTCAATATTGTGTGCAATAATATGTTCAATGTGGTCCCACTAGTCTAAATATGGTATTCTGATTAAAACTGGTTTGGTGGAAAAAGGATTAGGCAGTTTTCAGCCATTCGGGGAAGCTGACATTTCATGCATCACCGCCCCCTGCTGCCGACTGAAATTGATGTCAAAGTGCATTTGGGGTTCACATTGCCTCCGTTCACAGTTGAGCCGTCTCACCTATATTGTGGGTTTGGTCACGTGAGATTCATAATTACAGTATTTTAATGACCACTGTCATTATATTTCAATTATTAAAAAAATCTTCATCTGATGACTGATTCAGTTGATTAATTTTGACACCTCTAATTGTAACCTACAAGAACATATGGTATGAAAATCATATTGTCACTGTTCCCATAGTTTACATGATGTGAAACTCAGTGCCATGTGTTAGATTATATCACCATACTATTACTATGGTACAATATAATGGTTACATGAAGGTACATGTACCATCATTGAGGAGTTTTCGAATGTTGTCATGTGACCAACTTCCTCACCTAAGGTTAAAATGAGCACTTAATCAACTTGGTCCACTCAAGTTTGCACTTGATTTATTTATTTTTTCTTTCTCCATTCAAATATGTGCACGCCGAATGGAAGCCCAGTGTCGTTGGTGCTGATAATGAATTTAATGTAGTCGTTTGATGAAGAGAATGTCACATTTAACGACGAAGATGGCAAAAGGGTGACACATTTGCAAAGGACATCGTCGGTAGCATATAGGCGAAGTGACTAAAAAGCTACTTTATACGGTATGTTTTTGTTTAGACGAATAGCTAACTAACTTACAGCGTCACTTTTTTATATTTTCAAACGAAACAACGTGCGAGGCTATGCTAGTTTTCGCCCATGGGTTACTTTTAATTCCACTCGCCACTGTCACGAAAGCAACGTCACACCCACGCTCGCAAACGAGATACGCTTTGCCTGCTCGCGCTGAGTGTGAAACTTTGACTTACTTGGGATCAAATTTTCGTTTTCTTTCTTCTCTTTTCCTTCACATGTTTGGTGTGCTTCAGGGGCTGCCGTAAAGCAAAGATGAGTGTCGCAAACGGCTTCTCTCCACCGGGCGTTAGTAGGGGGCGTGGCTCTGTGCCTGCGTGCGAGTGAATGAATGAGTGATGATAATGTTGATATAAGCCCGCAAGTCGTGACTGGTACGTGTTGTTTCTGCGATTCACGTTTATATAGACACGTTGAATAAACCACCTTTTGACTTTTTCTCTTTTTTTTTGTGCTTTTTGTCTTTATTTGAGGCCAAATAAGTCGATATTTGAAGCTTTTCACTTTGGGAAAGGCTCCAAAGGCTTCATAAGGGAAAATCTTTGATTTGGGAGGACTTTACTTTCTTTTTCAACAGTCTTACATATTCGACACACATTAGACACTTTTAAATGAAGTAAACACGCAAACCTTTTGATACACACTTTAATGCATTCCTTAGCGCCTGTTCTTACACTTGCTTGCAGTTATCCTAATAAGAGGTCAAGCGTGGTTGCTTCAAGCTGTTTATATTTCAACCCCACTTACAGTGTATTGTAAAATGGAAACATAAAAGAGAATGAAATGGCGAATATTTAAACAACAAAATTTTAGACTAAACCGTATAATCTCCTCCAATGGAAATCAACTCTCTTAATATTAGTGTAGAGTGTGAAACGCCATAGACAGGCTAATTCATAGGGGGCATAAACTTTGAATGGCACTATTGTGGTAGTGCACTCTAAAAAAAAAAAAAAAAACATCCTGTAAACATGTTCACCTTCGAAAACATTTGCAGACATGAATTCAAAAATTTGGTTCTGAAGTATTTAAAAATTCTGTCCGCAAATTCAGTCTTGGCTTGAGCAACACGACATGTGGTAGATAGGTCAAGCACAAAAAGGCCTTAAGAGACCATCCCCCAAAAGACACTGAACGTCTGCAATTTTAATTTGAAGCAGCCATTTTATGCTCCGTTTTGGCTATCTCCATCTAACTCTAATGATAAATCCAAAACTACTATAACTCTGATTTAAATCATCCATTTTAGAATCCATTTGGCCGTTTCCAGAGGCCCTTTATGGACAAACTCGTCGTAAATATTTTGTGTGAGTGCTACCAAATTTGAACAGCGTAAAAGTGATAACTTTCACCCTGACGAGCGTGAGAGTGCGAGGAACTGTTTAGCACTGCTGGCAGCAGCTTCAATAGTTACATCCTGGCTCTGAGCAAGTACCCCCCTGCCCCCCCCGCCCCCTCCCATCTCAACATGCCTGAATTTTTTTTTTTTTTTTTTTTTTGCACTTTTTGTAAACACGTGTTTCCGAGTGAAAATGTACAGTTTTTAGTTTAGGGGTTTCCCAGCATGATCTCCCCTCCCCCAAAATTCACTCATGAGTGCCCCCTAGAAAGTTAAAAAAGATTTCTCACCGATTGACATGGAATCGGAGGGGAGGACATGTCTACCATAATAGCACACATAAGAAAGTTTCAGACACCCATGCGTTAAATTGAACAGGAAGTCGGCCATTTTGGTTTAACGCAGCTACTTTGGACAAATTGGTGTCAATGGTGTCCTATGGAAAGTTTTAAAAAAATAATCAGCCCCCGAAAGTAGTTTCACAGATGGACATGAAATTGGGTGGAGGTATCATGATAGCAGGACCCGCGAAAAAGTCTCAAGGATCCATGAGTGAAGTTGAACAGCAAGTTGGCCATTTTGAGCTGAATCTGCTATTTGGGGTGAATTAGAGGACACATACTTTGAACTTCTATTCAGGATTTGGTCCAAGCCACAATTGGAAGCAGGTATGTAAAGATTTTACAGTAGTTCTTGTGTGGATCAATGGCATCCAAACTACGGCCCGGGGCTATTCGCGGCCCACTAAAAATTTTCAATGGCCCGTGACATGACAAAAAAAAAAAAAAAAGACATTTGACATGGGCCACAAGGTTAGAAGTGAGGTTGTCAGAAAAACAGGTGCCATTCCCACTAATAAATTTGTTTGTGTACTATCGAATTTTTCTTTATATTCAAAGATACAAATAAACGATTAATGATTAAATGAATTTCACAATTTATCTTCGAAACACTATAGTCAATAAAGATAATTCAACTTTAGAGGCAAAAATAATTTCTTCCACTTTGTGCTCTATGGCTGATTTATGAACACATCAGATTGAAAAATGGTCCCCTTACTACAACTTCTTTTTTTGGTTCTGAATGTGGATACGGCTGCTGCAAAGTGCAGATCTGGATCTACTCTGTGAGATAGACGGCTGTTGGCAACCCCGGCAACTTGGAAAAATCCTCAACTACTTGCCTCAAGACCTTGAACAGAAATCTGATGAAATTAACTAGAAAATACAAACAATATATACTGTAATTGCTTTCTTGACCGATTTTAGCGTGCTTCAAAAAGATGATGAATTTTAAAATGCCCCTTTCATTCTTCCATTTTTCTGTATGTGGCCACCAAATGAAAAAATTTGGACACCCCTGGGGTGTGCGTGCGCGTGAAGGAGGGGGGTGGTCTTTGAGAGGCGTGTCCAGTCGGACCCAGCCTGCACCTCCCTACAAGGCCGTGGTAACGTTGCATTTGGCGTGCAGTGGACGTCCAAGCTGTGACTTGTAAGTGTCTCTCTTTTTCTCTTTTGTGTGTGCATGACTTAAATGTTGTGTGTGTGTGTGTGGATGAGGATGAGGATGAAGGTCATAAATGAACTGAATGTAATGAGAAAAAAAAGCCTATCAGGTGCTTCACATGTGTCCTTGTTAAGTCTTTCTTTGACATGCTGAATTTTTTTCCTAATTGTGATAAAAAAAATCTGTATTGTGTTCACTTATAAACACTCTATGCAAAAAACAAAACAAAAAATATTTAAATGAATAACATCCATGCGTGTGCACACACAGTGATGGATGGAATGTTTCTTTCATCACAAGTTCCAAGCATTTGAAATGTGTTTTATGTAAATATGATGATGAACATTGTTTTTGATGGTAAAAGCAGCTTAAGTGCAACCATAAGAAAAAAAAAGTGGAACCAGAAGTTTGTGTGTGTGCGTGTGTGTGTGTGTGTGTGTGTGTGTGGTGGTGGGGAGTGGGGGCGGCGGGGGGGTGTTCTGACACAGGACCCCGCCCCACAGACCCCCACACGTCTGCAAATATTTGCGAGTTGGACTTTTATGCCCATCTTGGGCAGCGTTTCATTTGCTGCATCAATGTTGTGTGACAACAAACATAAACATTTAAAATGCCTTTCTAATTGTCTAATTAATTTCATTGTATCCATTCATTTTTAATTACTGTATTTTATGCTGTAGACGACACTTAAAACCGTAACACGATGTAACAGCATTAGAATTGAACAAAACTCTCTTTAACAACAAGTCTCAAAAATAAAAGAATGTGCTCCTAAGGATACATTTGATCTTTTGCCACCATTTGTCTCAAATGAGGTTCCATAGTTTGAGGGGGCCAGTAAATTCCTGCTGGTGCAGCTCATATGTTTTCACTTCTACATGTTTAAATTTTATATACACGAGGTGCACATGCTTCACTTTTACATACATTACGTCAGAGTGAACGGCCTGGGGCCCACATGAATCTGGCCAACAAAAGGTTGCTATGATCAAGATGCCAATTACAGTTGATGCATCATTGTGTAGCCACCCCCCCATAACACCTAAAATCATATCATTCAAATTTGGGACGAGCGAATACTGATACTGGGGTTCATACTGGCCTGATTTTCAGGTATCGGTACTCATGGAGGCTGCTGATACCAGCCACTGATACTTAAGACGTCTGAAAAATCTGACAAACACGTCGTACTTCCTTCTCTTCAGAGAATTATGTGTTATGTGTGAGTTACTCCGGAAATCATGGAATGCTTTTCTGCTACCTCTCCACTCTGGTGGCCATGACATATTATGACGAAATATCGAAATTCATTCAAATCAGCTTATTTTTGTGGGGGAGGAGCTTATTTCCTCTCCCCCTTTCAATAAAAACAGAAGGAGAGTTTTCACTTTTTTGAAAAAAAAAAAAAAGACACTCACTATCACTAGAAAGCAAAAAGTGCACAATTCTAGGAAATAAAAATGAATGCAGACAAAATGGCAGTAGAAAAAAAAAACATTTCCGACAGCTGAATAAGAAATAAAAATGGCAGCCAAACAAAAGTGATCACTTATCGACATATTTATTATGAATAAAAAAATAAATAAACAAAAGTAACAGAACTGCCCGGAAACTAATTAAAATTCAATGAATTTGTAAAACGAAAAGCTAAAATGAAAGAAAAGCTTACACATATATAAAAAAAATAAATAGTGCCTCGCATACAGCACGGGACGACATCATGTAAAATACAGCATATGAAAAGTTATTATTGTGGTTGTAAATAGTTTTTTATTCAATTTAATTGCTCAGTGTGTTTCCAATTCCAGTAAAAACGGAACAAGACATACCCACATGACAACACACCATCGCTTTAAGTATTTTTTAATGATGACCAGATGAAACTTTTCAAACGCTCCAAAGCAAACAACAACAAAAAACTTAAACATGCACACACGAACTATTTTGTCAAATGTAAATAGACCACACACAGGCAAACGCGCACATAAACAAGAGCTTCGACTTGATAACGGGACAGCTCTCTTTCCATTTAATCTGTCCGATCCAACAACAGAGAAGTTATTATTTTTACTCAAATTAGTATTGTGAACTTCAACCAAATCATGCTTTGTGTGGATAAATAAATATTGTTCCATTACATTTCTACACATATTCTATGTTAAAAAAAAAAAACAAACTATTAATTTTATGTTTAATATTTTGTGAATTTACTGTGCATAGAAAAATAGCAATTGAATGGTTAAGCTTTTTTGGGGGGGGTTCATTTGAAATGTATTTATTTTGGATGTGCTACTATTTGTGTTGATTTGTGAATGGTTGTTCATCAAATGGAAATTTTTTTTTAAATAAGTTATGAACCCAAATATATTGTCACCTTCTGGCACCTGACAAATACCCCCAGTGACTAAACAAACAAAAATCCTAATAAAACGACACTAAGTGAATTGTGAAAAAAAAAAATAATAACAGTAATGTTGTGGAGATGCCTCCCATACATTAGGGGGCGACATCGTGTTTTATAATCATGGCGTCCCGCGAGGCATAAAAAAGTATTTTTAAAAATCGTTTTTTTTTCTGTGGACGTTTGCTAAGCTCATCGTGTGCCCTGCCACTGGTTCAGGTTGTCGTCTGTCTTTCACCCAAAGTCTGTTGGGATAGGCTCCGGTATACTGTATACAAATTTGGCAATTTTACATTTATATAATTTTCACAGTCCTCCCAGCCTACGACAAAAAAAAAAAAAAGAGATTGTTACCCTGCTCTTTGCTCTCATGTCGCAGTTGACTGTGTAGCTTTTCAGAACGATCACGTTACATAAATATTATCCTAGAAAAAACAAAGTAGAAATACCGTGAGGTTGGCGTCCATTCAAAGTGGGCGGGGCATGTTGATGTTGTTTTTATTTTTTGGGGTGTCTTTGGCGAAATCCTTGACGACGCCGTCTCAGCTCAGCATTCCGTCCGGCTTCCTGCACTCTCGAAACCCAAGAAGAGGAATTTCCTGGAGATGTTCTATCGAGAAGGTTCTGAAGGCCCCAGCAGGAATGTGGCCGTTGTTGGCGTTGACGTTGACCAAATAAGGCAAAGCAGGTCGAGCAGGAAGAAACGTGTATGGACACGTCCCGGCTAAGCGACCAACCAACATTCTTGTCAACAGCCATTAGTCAGATCCACAGTGATTTAGTTTAGGAATAAACTTTAGCTCACCAAATTCATCAATCAGGAAATAAAGACGAAAAACTCGTTTTTTTTTTTGTCTTTTGGAAAAAAACGAACAGTAATTTATAAATGGTGTGGTCGAGCTTTACTAAAACAATGATTCGCTTCCAAAGTATTGCACATTAAAGTGAAATAAAAATGATTCCCAACTACAAGTTCATAAACAAACAGTTCTTCAAGACTACATGCAAATGCACTGTACTAAAAAGTTAAATACAACTGAAGTGTACTTAGGCGGTACCACTTGAGGGAGCTTGCATACCACGCTTTGAGAATCCCAAAACTAAAAGCCGACATTTACAGGTAGCGTGTAGAACGGGGCCTTGAGGTGGGGCTGTCACTTTAGAGTGCCTCGTTGTCGGGAGTGAGTGCTTACATTTCAAGGAGACAAGACGGCAGGCCGAAGTAATTAATATATATATATATATATATATATATATATACTTTTTTTTACGTGCCTGCAGTTGTTTGGACATCGATTTTGCTCTGGCGTGGCTGCTTTAGAGTGCCTTGTTGTCACACAGTCAGTGGACATGGCCACAGCGTCGAAGCGCGAAGAAAGTGGCCTGATGTTTTATGATTATGAAGGCTCGTTTTATATATCTGGTGTTTTTTAATTCATTTAATTTGACAAGGTTGTTAATGACTCTGGTGTGTCAAATTTATTTTCACTCTACAGGAACATTTTTGTAGTGTATTCCTATAAGATCAGTGTATTCATACTCATCATGTAGTCATAGTAATTATGTATGATTAATTATAATGTAATCATAATAATACTGAAGATGTCATCGTGATAGAGTGGACTTTGTGTTCAATGAGTAGGTCAAGAATAATATTTATGGTCGTATTTGTGGCCAAGCTGAGTCGGGTCTGGCTGGCCCGCCATGTCTTGACTCTTGTGTGAAGTTGAGCTGACTTCATTGGCCATCGTAAGTCCATAAGCATCGGAAACGGGCCAAGGCGCAGTAGGACTACAGCGTGTGTCAGTAAATCACTTTTCCTTTCATTAACTAGACGAAAATGTGGCACTCTGTATCAGATTAGATATGCAGGAAATGGCCAAGACCACATCTGTTTTCCAGATGACACTCTGGCGTGGGCCCGGTCCGAGGTCGGTTCTGTGTCTGAGTCTCCTGTAGGGTTTGGGCACACGAGAGCAGCTGTAAAGCTTCTACACATGAAAAAAAAAAAAAAAAAAAACCTTGACATTTTGCAGGTTTCTGGATTCAACTTGGCGATGGCGGCCCGAGTCCCAGCTGGTTCCAGCTGGCTCTGTTCTGCTGCTGGTTCTACTCCAAATTGACTCGACTTGGATGACTGTGTTTATTCTATAAATGGGTTTCGAAGAACCAAGACTAACATTTGACATCATACCACCACACCAAGAACGAGGGGCAACGAACAGGAACAGTATCAAGAATGAGAAAGCCAACAGGAACAAGAACTAAAGAACAGGAATAGAATAATTACAACAGGACAAGGCCCATCTCCGAGAATAGGAACAGGAGAGAATGAAAGAGAACAAAAACAAAAGAACAGGAATGACTCGAAGAACGGGAACAAAAGAAAGCCAACAGAAACAGGATCAAGAAGAACGGGAGCATGAACAAGAGTAAAAGAAAGAACAAAAGAACCACAATAGGAGCAGGAACAATAAAAAGAAGCAGAGCAAGAAGAGAAGAATGTGAACGGGAACAGCAAAAAGAACAAGAATAAGAAGAGGAACAAGAGCTAGAAAATAATCTAGGATGAGTAAGAACAGAAGCAGCAAAAATAACAAAAACAAATGCGAAACTACAGGCCCAGGAGCAAGAACACGATCAAGAAGGACAGGACTGAGAACAACAGGAACAATAACAAGGAGAAGTGTTTCTGCTGTTTCATTGCGGCGAAACACCTTTGACCCTTGAAGACCGCCTTTTCAGATGATGTCAGTGTCACCGCCCCCCCCCCCCCACCCCCCCGGCCAAGAGCATTGTAGCACGTCCTTGCGCAAAGGCGGGGATTTGATCTTAGGACGTAAACAAAGTCACTCAAGTGGTCTCGCTGTGATTACCATCAGATGCTTCACATTAGTGGGGCCCCTTTCCTTGGGGGAGGTCCTGCAGGCCTAGCCAGTGATGATACACAGACCTGAAACATATATACACACTTTAATGTACACTCACTCATACGCATACATCAAAGTGTGTATATGTACATAACATGTGAGTACGTAGTGTGTTGGTGAGTGTGTATGCATGATATCAACTATGACATGAGAGCCTAGAGACCCAACCACGTAAAGTGTGTGAGAATTGCGACGCACACGAGTGTGATATGTGTGTTTGTGTGTGTGCATATCAGTGTACACGCCACACATATCATAAACATACACACTTCATGTATATACACATTGACATCCACGTTATGCACACGCAGGCACACACAAACACACACGCACACACACACACAGACACACACTCACACACACTCTTCCTCATCGTCACATTCCTATAAAATTGTTGGATCTGGCTGGTACACACGTTTGTTGGCCACCAACACACATGCAGCCAGACAGACAGACAGACACACACACACACACACACACACACACACACACACACACACACACACACTCTTCCTCATCGTCACATTCCAATAAAAATGTTGGATCTGGCTGGTACACGTCTGTTAGCCAGCTCCACAAATGCAGACAGACAGACAGACACACACACAGACAGACACACACACACACTCACACTCTTCCTCATCCTCACATTCCTATATAAATGTTGAATCTGGTTGGTACACATGTTTGTTAGCCACCTCCACACATGCACACAGACACAGACAGACACACACACACACACACACGCGCGCACACACACACACACACGCACACGCACACGCACACACACATTCCAGCACTGTGAAACTAATTTACGAACATCTCACTCCCATCTGTAACCTCTCAACTGTAATAAATACAACAAGCACCATTAACCTTTCAAAGGCTCACCACTCTTTCTTTGGCACGCTCACAACATCCATACATGTGTAAATATCGCATTAATTAATACAGGTCATCAAGAATGTTTTTTGGAATTCTCGGTAGTGTTGAACTACGGATGTTTATAAAAGTCCCTTCCATCCATCAGTTTTCTACTACTGGTTCTCAAGGGGTCGCGTTAGGGTAAGGGGCCCATCCCAATTGACTTTTTGGGTACACCCAGGACTGGGATGAGGGTTCGTTAGTTAGTTGGTCAATGTCAGGGCACGTAAAGACAAGCAAACATTGACCACTAGTCCACCGTTTTGCCCGAGGTCTTTCTGGAATAACACAATCAAGTTGATGTTCTTGTCGTGGTGCTCTGGAGCTCCTTGTTTTCCCTGGTCTTCTATTCACAAACGTCATGCACATGACATTCCAAAGAGCTCCTTTGCCGTTTGACGCTTGATGTGGTCGTCGGCGCGGGACTGCAGGAAACGCAGCCGTCAGCTTAAACACAAGCAGATGGGACGATTCTTCCTCTTTCTTTGTCTGATAGCGGACAGCTGCTCACACTCAAATACAACAGGATGTGACTTTGGCTACCCGATCTCTGCGAACACAAACATCCACCATCATCATTATTTTCGTCATCTATTTTTCATCAATAATCACTAACGAATGGAATGAGAATGTGCAAACTATGAGATCAAACGTATAACCTCTTGACTGTGCGCTAACTGCTGTTTTACCGTGTTGCATCCTTATTCGGGTGGTGGGTGAGCTAGCTGGTATCCCAGCTGGCAGGGAACAGCCTGGACTGATCGCCAGTCAATGTCAGGACACAAAGGGAAACAATAGACCGTCACTAGTCAATGGCACAGCACATATAAGGCCCTGTTATAATAGACGTGCCAAGGTTGTCTCCAAGTGCTCACTTGGCAGCAGCCGACTTGATGTCATCCGCAAGTGGAAATCTTGCAGTTCCTTATCCAGTAAACATACTTTGTGGATGGACACCAGCAAGTCTGTTATGATTCCACCATGTACACCGCATGCCTCTCCTGCACTGAATTTAAAGGGAATAGGGGGAGTCGCTTCGGTCGGCAAAGAATCAAGTCGGCTGTGTTCTGTCACACAACAGCGTAGCAACGCCTTTTTAACTGCGCCCGTCTATGAAAAGACCAAAAATTACCGTATTGGCCCGAATATAAGACGGCCCTGATTATAAGACGACCCCCTCTTTTTCAAGACTCAAGTTTGAAAAAAGACGTTTTGAACACCAAATTAATTTTTATACAGAAAATAATTACAGTACATCTGAAACAAATGATTAAAACAATATATTTGAGAGAAAAAGCATATTATTTTGCCTCATTCAAATCTTAATATCCGAACATTTAAATATGTAAAATAAAGTGCAATCACGTTCGTAAATGAATGGCTTCTGGTTTTTGAAATGTAAATTACATCATAACTTCTCCTCAGCTGCTGATCTTCGACCCACTTTTCTCCAGATTGTCGCTACGTTTCTCCATTTTCTGTTATCTCTTCTATTATTTTCTTCTCTTTTCTTTCTTACCGCTATTTTTTATTTTTCTTCTTCGTGCTACCGCTATTTTAATTTTTATTCTTCGTGACAGGGGTTCACTTTGGCCTCGGGAGTCAAGTTCAGCATTCGCTTCAATGATATCTGCCGCCATCTAGCGTCGTGAATGGGTATAATGTCTAGACCCCGAATATAAGACGACCCCCACTTTTTCAGTCTTATTTCAATGCAAAAAAACACCGTCTTATATTCGGGCCAATATGGTAATAAAACTATATCGGCACAAAAATATGGCCCATTGATAAACAATGAAAAGGTCGCTTAGCAAGGTCAGACCACATGCAGACGAACAATGGTTTGGTCTGCAATCCATGCCACGGTCATCAGTAGAAGTAAGGACACATATTGAGAAATAATGGACTGGTCGCCAGTTAACGGCAAGGCATGTGACGGACAGGATCTCAACCTTTCTGCTTGTTTAATATCGTTGATGACATCAATGCTCCTTGCTGCCTTCTCATTGCAGGAGAAAGAAATCATCATGGCGGGGGAGCGGTGTCTTCTCCTTGTTCTCATGGGGGCCATGTGTTTCCATGGCAACGCTGCACAGAGGACAGGTGGGTGCCATTATGGAGTATGACCTCACTCCTCTGTATTCCATCATATATAGGACATTGGCTTTCGATCTCGCTCTCACACACACGCACGCACGCACACACACTCACACACTACACGCGCACACACATGAACACACGATAAAACACACACCTAGCAGTTTACTCGTGCACAGTGAACATCACTTGTACTAACATCACTGTGTGTGTGTGTGTGTGTGTGTGTGTGTGTGTGTGTGTGTGTGTGTGTGTGTGTGTGTGTGTGCGTGTGTGCGTGCGTGCGTGCGTGTGTGTGTGTGTGTGTGTGCTCATTCACGCATTAACGCCTCACATGCTTCACGCCCAGCATTAACGTCCCGGTCAACTTTCTTCTATGACTTGAGAGCGTGTTAAAAATTGTTTCCATGGCGATAATCTGATTATGCGTATTCCGGATCTTGGAGGAAAACAGTAAAGGAAGAAATCCAAAAGCCTCTGAGTGATCTTATTCTTTTTTGGGTTTGAAGGATTTGCTTCTGGCTCGTCCGGCCCTGGTGGACAAACGCGTGATGTTGGTTTTCCTGTCGTATGGCTTAGTTTACTAAGACGTGGAAACTGATCTTGATCTACTATCTGGGCGCATCCAGTATTGCGTCTGCCAAACATGTAAAATAGCTGCGCAATTCATTTCTAACCCAACGTGCAAAAATACTGGGACGGCGGCATGGATCAATGGTAGAGTGGTCGTTTCCCAATCCAGAGGTTGGTGGTTTGATCCCCGGCCATTGCGACCATGTCGAAGTGTCCTTGAGTAAGATACTGAATCTCCAGTTGCTCCTGATGCTGCGTCATTAGGAAGTGAAATGAGGTAAGAGTGTAAAGCGCTTTGAGTACCCGAGGTAGAAAAGCGCAATAAAGGTGACAGCCCATTTACCGTTTCCTGTGAGGTGGTAGATGCAAAGAGATTAATTTAGCAGCCGTGAAGTGCGGAATCAAACCTGAGCCTGATCGGCAGTGGCTGATTTTCTAGCAAGTTAGGCATACTCCCGCGTGTAACCGCGAGTGCGGTTATTACGGCGAGGGCGGGGCGGAAGCAGAACGAAAGAGATGACGGTGATCTTTTTCGCTCGTGAAAACATTTTTGAAAGGGCAGAAACAACAACAAAATAAAAAGATTGGGACTGATGATCTATTGAGCAATGCAATCTTGGAAACTGGGCTGACTTGGAAATCATAACAAGAAGAAGTTGTACTACTGTATATCAGTGATGATAAAATTCCTTTCATCTCTACATTTCCTTGCATCTGGATCCTTTCAGCAGAATATGACATTTGGTGCCGGCTTCTCCCAGAGCAGTTTTTTTTTAGGTGTGCTTTCCCAAGTTGTGCAGAGGCATCCAATTCCGACACACTTGGGACTCGAAAATCAAACCAAACATGGCTTTTTAAGTAGCGGCTGGCTTCCCAAAAATGATCAGAGCAGTCGACGGTTTCATGAGTATCTGTTGCCGAAATGCAGGGGGGGAAGTTAGCGAACGGGGTGATGTGCATCTTCCTTGACAATCGCACCATGTTTTTGTGGTTCAAAAAAATATATATATATTATAATCATTACACCACACAACCCAAATACAGTACAGAGTTGCAGAACAGTGCATTGATCCATGTGCGGGATTTTGAATGCTTTGTGTGTGACAAGTTGCCAACTGTAATTTTTTTCGTGATGGGCAACTTTGCATTGCGGCTCAGTGTGCAGCAGGCCTTCGAGCCAACACGAAATATATTGCTGTGAGAACCCTGTTGGAGATATTTTTAAGATGACTAATGGAGTGCAAACAAACAAACAAAAAAAAAACCCTTACAAGTGTAAACAATTTGATATGAGTGGTTGCTGTAGACATGTGGAAGTTTAAAAAATGGTCTAGTTCCCAGGGTGACTGGACTCAAGGTTTATTTAGTTCTTGTGACGCTCCCACCCCCACAACTCCCACCCCTCCTCCCAGTTGAAACGCCTACCAGAGACATAAAATAGGGGAAATTCACACCAAAGATTTAGAAAAGGCCTTCTGGATTTAAAAGTAAAAAGTCTACAGCAACCAAGCAACCAGTTTCCTCCCTTTTGACTTTAACGGATAACCACGACCTGGATGACTAACAATCTTCACAGACGTAAAGACTCCTCATGAGTTCAGGGCCACGCAGCTTGGATGCTCTTCACGCTTTTGCACTTCCGATCACTGCAGATTTGTCTTCTTCTTCGTCTCCTATGGAAAGCCATTTGAGCATTTATTTCATTTCCTTGTGATCCATCTTTAACCCTTTCATGCACCCCTGTAACCTGAAAACATGATAAGCGGTCCACTGCCGTGACGGCTGTCCCTGACGGCCCTTACGGATCTTTAGATGGATAGTAACTCTATGGAATAAATGCTGAAACGGCTTTACCAGACGTCTCCATGTCACCTGCGCTAGCAAAGCACTTAGCTCTCTGACTGGCACGCCATCCAAAACCGCCGCTTCACCACGTAGCCCCTTCAGTGACCCGAACCCAACCCCCCATTGTCAGTATGCACTCAAGAAGCCGTGGCTGACCTGGTCTTCATGGTGGACGGGTCATGGAGCATCGGCGCGGAGAATTTTGAGCGCATCCGCCAGTTTTTGTCCACGCTGGTCAACAGCTTCGACGTGGGTCCAGACCGGGTCCGCATGGCTCTGGTCCAGTACAGCACGACACCAAGAACCGAGTTCCTGCTCAACACCTTCCAGAAGAAGGCCGAAATCCTCCAGTATGTCAGCACGCTGCCCTACATGGGGGGCGGTACCCACACGGGTCAAGGCCTGGATTTTATGCTGAGTAAGCATTTTGTGGAAGAGGCCGGGAGCAGGGCGAACCAGAACGTGGCCCAGATCGCCGTGGTCATCACGGACGGAAAATCTCAAGATGACGTGGAGTCTCACGCCGCGGAGCTGAAGAGGAAAGGAATTGTCTTGTACGCCATCGGGATTAAAGACGCGGATGAAGATCAGCTGAGGGAGATCGCCAGTGAACCGCATAGTCAGCACGTCTACAGCGTGTCCGACTTTGCCGCGCTGCAGGGAATTTCTCAGAGCATCGCCCAAACCTTGTGCACGACCGTGGAGGAGGTCAAACGACAACTTCTGCAAGTGTCTCAAGGTAACGTGAAGTCACGCCACATCGCTCGTCGTGGAAATGAGACTACAAATATGGCGTGGATACAAACTTTGGGTGGTCTGCATCACGGAGAGACAAAATTCTACCTACAGATGCTAACTTGGTTATACATTGTTAAAGACCAAGGACTAGGTGGTACTCAATTGTCTTTTGTTTTTTTAGGCTAAAAGAGGGCTCAGTGATATATTTCATCCATGGCAAGAGTCGCCCCAACCCTACTAGATGAGAACCTTAGCACATTCGTTCACATCGGCGGTAATCTGACGCAATCGTGACGTGCAGTTAACTCGCTAGCTAGGCCTACACCCTGAAAATACCTTTTCTGGATAGTCCACTGGCATGGCGGCTTTAGAGTGCCTCATTGTCAGCCATGAGTGCATAGACGTCATGCAGACAAAGGCAGAATCGCGATGAGGGGGGCAATTTATGTTTAAAAGAGGTCTTAGGGCTGGCACAATGGCTTTAGAGCGCCTCATTGTAGACGTCAGGACAATAAGGCGTAAGAAATGAAAAAAAAAAAAAGTATAGTCCAACTTGACAATCAGTGTGTGGACAGTGGTGTCTTTAGAACGCCTCAGCGTCATGCCAAAGCGTGGAAAAGCCCTCCGACGACCTGGTTAGATATATTCCAGCATGTCGTCAAATGTAGGCATGAGAACGATGCGAGACCAAGTCGCATTCATTTTTAGCAGATTGCAGTAGAGGCATTTGATTGACTGTTTCAGCGGACACATCGAGTGAAGTGCATGATTTGTTTTTTCCACAGTTTAAAAGCGTCATTTTATGTATCGGCGATTTAGTAGAGGCATTTGATTGACTGTTTCAGCGGACACACCGAGTGAAGTGCATGTTTTTTTTTTTCACAGTTTGAAAGCGTCATTTTATGTTTTTTGGTGTGTGAAATAATTCAACTTACATACAGTATATTTATTTAAATATATTTAGGAAAAAATGCTTTTTTCACATTCGTGGGACTGTGAGCAATATGATGGAGAGACCTCTTTTTGGTGTGTGAAATAATTCAACTTACATACAGTTTATTTATTTATTTATATATATATTTAGGGAAAAATGATTTTTCTTCCCATTAGTGGGACTGTGAACAATATGATGGAGAGAACTATTTGAAAGCCAATTCTAATTGAATCAGGGAGTGCATTGGCTCCTTCATGGATCAAATATTTGTGAATTTCCAGCTCCTTTTTAGAGAACAGCAAGTGCTGCAACAAGTGCGAAAACACTGAATGGTTGGACGCGTGCATTCAAAAGTTTCGAGAGAGAAGCCAAATGAAGTTCATTCAGTGCATTATAATGGGTTTTAGGTTCAGGCTAAAACTTCAGATCAAAAGCCTAACGTCCCTTTTATTGTAGGCAGTGAATTTCTTGGAATGAAATATGGAAAAATAGAAAGCAAGACATTAGACCAAATAAATAAATAAATAAAAATCCCAAAGCAATTTTAAATCCGGAACAGATTGTAGCTCACCCAACGGCAGCAACATCAAACAGTCGGGATGACAGTCAATGCGTTGAAAGCACGAGCTGGCTGCTAAAGGAGCTCTGCTTCGTTTGCTTTAGGCCTGAAATACCACCAAAGGAACTTGTGGAGCGTAACACAGCAAGTAATGATTAGCGCCAGTGTCGCCATTCTACTCACGCCGCAAACATGTGCACTGGGAGATCTGGTTCACTTCAGTGTACTGTCTCTTCAAATATTAAACAAATCTTCAATCACAAATAAAACAAAAAAACTGTTTCGCTGAGTTATTTACCGAAGCAAATGGAAATGATTACCTTGAAGAAGTCTGCCTCTCGTCTTAATTCTATGACAGTGTTTGAAAGAAAGTCACCGGTGCTCTCGTCTGAAACTGCCGTAAATGGAAACATTGAATTCAATCGGTTGGAGTGACACGCGGCTGAAAACGTCAAAAAATTATGAAAAATAAAAGCAAAGACTTACCAATGGTTAGAGCAGCTTGATGATGTTAAATTTGATGAGTCACTTTTATTCCTTCTTCCTCCCAAAAGCTAAAAACGCTTTCGTAACATGGATGTTGAAAGACTCGACTTCACGGGGGGGGATCTGGAATGAATTTATGAAATTTGGGATACAGCTGTTTTCCTGTCAGAGTGTGGTCATAGAACAAATTAAAATGGCATCTCAAGGCACCAGTGCATTTCGTATTTTAAATACCGGTAATATGTTTGAATCGATTTGGCTACGGCTGCAATTACATTTTGTCAAATGAGAAGTACAATTTACACCCATGCTTTTTTTTTGTATTTTGTGTATAGATCATTTGAAATTTCATGGGGTGGTGGGAGAGAAAATCTCCTCGAATTACGGAATGCCCCTTATCTGTTTTGTGCGATTGACTGACCTTAGCTTCAATGCTAATTATAATAATAAGCAGTATAGAGAATGGATGTAGGAAAATGAAAAAGGTGCTAACTTTGTTCTCTTCTCTCCCAGAATGTGCCAAAGCCACCGTAGCCGATGTGGTCTTCCTGGTGGATGGCTCTTCCAGCATCGGCATTTCCAATTTCCAGGAGGTCAGAGGCTTTCTCCGAAGCGTGGTGTCCGGTTTCGACGTCGGTCCTGACAAGGTCCGCGTGGGTTTGGCGCAATACGCCAATGAACCTTTTCAAGAGTTCTTGTTGAAAGATCACATGGACAAGAAGTCTCTGCTGGCCGCACTGGACAAGTTCCCCTACCGAGCGGGAGGCACGGAGACGGGCAAGGCCATCGACTTCATACGGACGCAGTTCTTCACGGAAGGCGCCGGAAGCCGAATGAACCAGAGGGTGCCTCAGATCGCTGTGGTCATCACGGACGGAGACTCCGCCGATGACGTAGTGGAGGCGTCACGGCGCCTCAGACAACACGGGGTCATCGTCTACGCTATCGGAGTGGGACAAGCCAACATGGTCGAGTTGGAGGCCATCGCCAACCGACCGTCGGACAACTTCCGTTTCTTCATCGACAGTTTCCAAGCTCTTCAGAAACTGAGCGACGGTCTGCTGCAAACCGTGTGTACGTCCATGGAGAACCAGAGGCAAGGTGAGTAGCGGAGAACTTCGGTTTCCAGGTTCGGAACGGCGCCTGATTTAGTAGTTTGCTTGGTGGCGTCAGAATATGTCTCCGAAAAGCTCATTGACAGCCGGTGGGATGAAAAACGATTTGATTTGTCAAACCAATTTGGAATTCAAAGATGTGAGTGCATCTGGACGCGAAGAACTAATGAATTGGTCCTTGAATCATATCACTGCCCACAGCTCTGTACGGTAGGTAATACTGTCGGCATTTTTGGAAAGCCGTTTACATGTTTCTATAAGATCCTTGATAGCCATTTGAAGGCATTGTAGTTTACTGGTAAAGTTTGATTGCATACTCGTTGGCCAAAATTGACACTGGTAGTGGAAAAATGTTACTTACCCTGACACGGTCATTATATTTGGATGATTGGTGTAAATACTCGTACAAGTACAAGGACCTTAAGCTGGATATCAAGGAAAAAGAATAAATGGCAGCATTCCATACAACTGCAGTCACACAGCATGAGAAGTTAGCGCCATACTTATTTCTCATTTGATTGAAAAGAAATTAAAAAATTATGGCCTAGAAGTGAGTTTAAGTAGAAGTTGTTCAAACAAATATTTTTTTTAATTATGACCTGCCGACCTGATGGAATTTGAACCGACGAAGACTCAATGCAGCGGTTATGCAACATTGACTCTCGTTCCACACCACAACAATGCAGACTGAAACAAGCTAGAAAAGATGTGTGATGGCAGCCAAAAAACACGACACGAACAATTCGGTGGAAGGGCAGAATTTACTGTAATATGTGTTTGCTGTGGGAAGTTTCCACAGAAATGAATCCCCAGCCTGATATTAAAAGTCCAAAGCAGCAAGATGTCAGATCGGCTTTTGGCAAGCGGGGATGATTACTTTCAGCTCCTAGACTTCTCATGAAAGCTGTGAACAATGTGTGCTTCAGTGGGAGGTTAAAATGTGGTCATACTCAGCTCTTAGAAATCCAAAACGCAGACTGAACTTGTCTGCCTTTTAGCTGCGCCTGGCCAAAACTAACAGGGGAAGGGATATTAACAGGATAGCGAACTTAATTAGCATTAGCTCAGTCTTCCGGAGGGAGACACATTTTTTTTGTCCACTTTTCGAATCTTGCTGTCTCTTGTTCTACTGACCAACCTGCCTCATTTTGCAACTGTAAATTCAGACTTGCATGCTCAGTAAGGTGTGTGGATCCCTCCAATAAAAGACAACTGGATACGTGTCACGATATATGGCATATGATACGATTCAGGGACTCTTCATTTTAAATTGTAGTTTATGATTTGACTTGAACTCAATAATTTCCTGAACTGTACAATCGCTTTAAAATCTACGGCGTTTTTCAGCTTTATCCGAAAGGTTTGCAGACATCTTCATCCTGGTGGATGGCGGCTTGAGTCAAGCCGAGTTCCAGCAGGTCCGAAGCCTCCTGATCCGACTGACCAACCAACTGACCTTCGGGCTCTCAGCACACCGCCTCGGCGTGGCTGAGTACGGTCAAGACACCAAGGTGGAATTTCGTCTGAATACTCACCAGACCAACGAAGAGACCAGCGCCGCCATCCGCCGCTTCCGGCTGCGTAAACTACAGCCCAACGAGCCACGCAACTTAGGTGCAGCCTTGGAGTATGCCCGCTCAAACTTTTTCACCAGCCAGGCGGGAAGCCGGGCAGACCAGGGTGTCCGACAGTTCCTGGTTGTTCTAAGTGGGAAAGATTCCGACGATGACGTCGACAAGCAGTCCCGCTTACTCAAAGCCCAAGGCGTCAAAGTGGTGGGTCTAAGTCTCGGTGCATCCATACCACAGATGCGGGTGGTAGCCTCCAGTCCTTCCATCGTCTACCAGTCCACCGTCAACGTCCTTCCTTCTCTGAAAGCTACTTTTGAAGACCAGGAACTGCCGGCCAATCTTACTGGAGGTAAAGCAAGTCTTTCTTCTTTTGCCCCTTGTGTCCTTGACATGATGTACAACCCCTTCCCCCCCAAAAAATGAGTCATGTGACACAGGAAACCCGAAAATGGCTAACTAGGCCTACTTTGGAAATTTTTACTTGGGGTGCAACTAATTTTTTTTTTTTTTTGCTGTCGTTTCTTGCGCAGAATGTAAAGGAGCCAAACTGGCAGACATCGTGTTCATCATCGATGAGTCCGGAAGCATCGGAACCCCAAACTTCCAGCTGGTACGCACGTTCCTGCACTCGGTTGTTAGCGGGCTGGACGTGGCTCCAACCAAGGTGCGAGTGGGCATTGTGATGTACAGTGACAAAGCAAAAGCGCAAGTCTACCTCAACACCTTTGACGACAAGAGCGAGTTACTTAGTTTCATCAAAATAATGCCATACCACGGCGGCGGCACTAATACGGGAGTCGCCCTCAATTTCACGCGGGAGCACGTGTTCACCAAAGAACGAGGCAGCCGGAAGGACAAGGGCATCCAGCAGGTGGCGGTGGTGATCACCGACGGGAAATCCCAAGACGATGTGAGCAACGCTGCCGTGGCCCTCCGTCGGGCGGGCGTCAAGATCTACACGGTGGGCGTCAAGAACGCCAACCACGCCCAGCTGGTGAAGATGGCGTCCCACCCGCCGAGCAAGCACATTTTCACCGTGGACAGTTTCTCCAAACTCCAAGCGCTGGAGCAGAAGCTGCAGAACATCGTTTGCCATAACATTCTGCGGCAAGCGGTCAGCGTCAATATGAGAAGAAGTAGCATCAAGGAAGGTTTGCATCGCCGTATTTGGGTTTTTTTCGACATTGCAGTGGCTGTGTTCGAAATCACTCCAATCTCTTATTTTGTTTTTGTGCTCTAGGCTGCTTGCAAACTGATGAAGCGGACATCTTCTTCCTGATAGATCACTCTGGCAGTATCTACCCCACCGACTTTTATGACATGAAAAAGTTCATCATCGAGTTTATTAGTACCTTCCGCATCGGGCCTCAGCACGTTCGCTTGGGCGTCGCCAAGTACGCAGATGCGCCAAACTTGGAATTTGATCTGACAGCCTACACGGACGCCAAAAGCCTGGAGAAGGCGGTGGAGGGAATCGTGCAGGTGGGGGGCGGGACGGAAACAGGAAGGGCGCTGGAGTTCATGGGCCCGCAGTTTGATCGCGCCGTGGCCACTCGTGGTCAGAAGGTGCCGGAATACCTCGTGGTCATCACTGACGGGAAATCCACAGATCAGGTCAAAGGGCCCGCTGAGAAGCTACGAGCTCAGGGTGTCATCATCTACGCCATCGGAGTGAAGAACGCTGACATGGCTGAGCTTCGGGAGATATCCGGTGACTCCAAGAAGACGTTCTTTGTCAATAATTTTGATGCTCTGAACCCCATCAAGGATGACATCATCACTGACATCTGCACCACAGATGGTGAGGAGATCCCCCCCAAATATCACCTTTCCTTATGTTTTACTCATGTGGGAGAGGGGGTCCATATTTTGCAGCGGGAAATGGACGCAGGGTTCCGCCTTTGACCATTTTTGATAAGGACACTGGCAGATTTTGGCACAGGGCACAACTTGGCAGTGGAAAGTCCACTGAAAATAAATAACTAACTTTAAAATTCTCTATGTTATGTTTCTGCAGTTTGTAAAGATGTACCCGGAGACCTCCTGTTCTTGGTTGACAGCTCCGGGAGCATTTATCCACAGGACTACGAAAAAATGAAGGACTTCATGAAATCGGTCGTCGGCAAGTCCAATATCGGGCAGAGCGACGTCCACGTGGGCGTCATGCAATTCAGCACCATCCAGCAGCTGGTGTTCCCCCTCAACCGCCATTTCACCAAAGACCAAATGCTGCAAGCCATCGACGGCATGCAACAGATTGGAGGAGGGACGAACACGGGAGAAGCTATCGCGGCTTTATCGCCGTACTTTGACGCGTCCCAAGGCGGGCGCCCCGGTGTGAGGCAAAGGATGGTGGTGGTAACCGATGGAGAATCTCAAGATAATGTCAAAATTCCCGCTGCGGCCCTGAGGCGCAAGGGTGTGGTGGCCTACGCCATCGGGGTGATGGATGCCAACACCACCCAGCTGCTGGAGATCACCGGATCACCGGAACGAGTCTTTGCTGAGAGGGACTTTGATGCCCTGAAGGACTTGGAGAGCCAAGTGGCTATGGAGATCTGTGATCCAGATCGAGGTAATTTATCCTTGTTAACACTGTTCGCACTTTTCTAGTACTGTACAGCGAATCCACCGTTTATAGCAGGGAATGGTTTCCAGATATTAAAAAAAACCCAAAACATTCTTTTCTCCTCCGCCAGAATGCAAGAAGACCGAGAAGGCGGACATCATCTTCCTGGTGGACGGCTCTACGAGCATCACCTTGGACAAGTTCCAAAGCATGCAGAAGTTCATGTCATCCATGGTCAGCCAAACGACGGTCGGAAAAGACCTCACCCGCTTTGGAGTCATTCTGTTCTCATCCGAACCCAAATCAGTTTTTACTCTCAACCAATATGAGTCCAAGCGAGATGTTCTAAAAGCAATATCAGCTCTCAAATCTCCGTATGGGGACACCTACACAGGAAAGGCCTTGGAATACGCCTTGCCCTTCTTCAACACCGACAACGGCGGTCGGGCAGCGCTCAACGTGCCTCAGATTCTGATGGTCATCACAGACGGCGACGCCACCGATCAGAACAATCTGCGTCAACCTTCCGTCGCGCTGCGAGACAAAGGCATCACCGTCTTCAGTATCGGAGTGGAAGGCGCCATCAGGGACCAGTTGGAGATCATGGCGAATCATGACTCAAGCCGAGTTTTCTACGTGGACAATTTTGCCGCGCTGGAAACTTTGCACAAGAACATCACCTTTGTTCTCTGCAACTCCACAAAACCAGGTAGGAGACACAAAAGACCTTTTGACCATGACATCACGTGTACTTCCGGTTGGAAATAGACAGAGGCATGAAAATGTGAACATGATATCGGATAACTTGTTGAACCATTTCGGGGACAGCGGTCGCTACAGTGGACTGCTTATCATGTTATCAGGTTACAGGGTGCGTGAAAGGCTTAATATTCTTCAACAACTTTTGCAGCCTGCGAGAAGCAGAAAGCCGATCTGATCTTCTTGCTCGATCAGTCGGGCAGCATCAGCCAGCGGGACTACACCATCATGAAGAACTTTACCACGCAGCTGGTGGGCAGCTTCAAAGTCAGCCAGGATTTAGTACGCGTCGGACTGGCCCAATTCAGTGACATTTTCCAACACGAGTTCTACCTGAACCAATTCTTCACTCACGAGTCGGTGATCAAGCGCATCATGGCCCTGAACCAGCGCGGCGGCGGCACCCTGATCGGGCTCGCCCTGGATGCCATCAGGAGTCACTTTGAGGAATCCAACGGTTGCCGCAGGTCGGCCGGCGTCTCTCAAAACCTGGTGCTGATTACAGACGGCGAATCCCAGGATGAAGTGCAGGACGCCGCCGACCACCTCAGGACTCTCGGGGTGGAGGTGTTTGCCATTGGCGTGGGTGGCGCGCACGACCTGCAGCTCCTGCAGATCACAGGCAGACACGACAGACTCTTTACCGTCGAGAACTTTGACAGTTTGGACAAGATCAGGCTAAAGTTGGTCGACACCATCTGTAAATCCAAGCCTATCGAAGAGCAGACAAGTGCGTGCCTTGTTCCTACTTTTATTTCTTCCTTGATTCCTTCTTTCTCCTCTTCTTTCTTTCCTTTTTTCATCCAATCCCTGTCACTGCTTCTTGACTTTTCTCCCTTCACTTTTTTCTGTTACTCCTTTCCATCCATCCATCCATCCATTTTCCAATCCACTTTATCCTCACAAGGGTCGCATGGGGTCCTGGAGCCTATCCCAGCTGTCTTCGGGCAGTCGGCGGGGGACACCCTGAACTGGTTGCCAGCCAATCGCAGGGCACACAGAGACAAACAATCATCGGCGCTCACACTCACACCTAGGTACAATTTAGAGTGTTCAACCAGCCTGTCATGCATGTTTTTGGAATGTGGGAGGAAACTGGAGTACCCAGAGAAAACCCACGCAGGCACGGGGAGAACATGCAAACTCCACACAAGGAGGCCGGAGCCGGAATCGAACCCTGCACCTCTGCACCGTGAGGTCAACGTGCTAACCACTGGGCCACCGGGCTACCTACTCCTTTCCTTCCTTGCTCATTTCTTTCTTCCGTTCTTTCTCTCCCTGCGGCTTTGATCTTATTCGGGCACAATCACATTTCTGACTTGTTTGTACTTTTTGTCGAACAAACGCTTCAGGCTGCAGTGTGGACATCGCCATGGGCTTCGACATTTCTCAAAGAAGCGGACTCGCCGGCGAGATGTTGGTCAGCGGCCATAACAAGCTCAGGACTTTCTTGCCCGAGATTGTCCATTACGCCTCCACCATCCAGGGGCTGTGCTGCATTGGGCCCGACCCGATCAAGACCAAAATCGGTTACAGGGTGGTGGGCCAGGACGGACGATCTCTTTACGACTTCAAGTTCAAACCCTATGACCCCAATGATGACGTGGTGACCAAGGTCATGACTTTGAATTTGAACGTTCCCACTCGGCTCAACAGCGCCATGCTCAGGTCCTTCGGGCAGAAATTTAAGGAGGACTCCCGTGGGGGCGTGAAGGTAAGTCACAAGTCTTGGTCTTTGGTGAGGTCTCCTGTACAAGTGGGGGCCTTGAGTCACATCACTGGAGTCGGACTTATGTTGCTGAGGTCAGGACTAAGGACAAGCTTGACTAAACTTATGAAAGACTTAAACTACATGACTTGAAAGTCTTGCCCGTTCACATTTGAAAATCTACAATCATGGAGGACGCTCAGAAGCACGCTATGTCCTTCTTCAGGTTCTGGTCATCTTCTCAGACGGACTCGATGAAGACGTAGTGACGTTGGAGTACGAATCAGAACTGCTGCAAAAGTCTGGTAGGAAAAATAAATCAAGACAAAAGGTGGTTTGTTTGTTGTTGTGTCGGACACGGAAGTAATCCACTGGACTTCCTCCAGGTGTGGACGCGCTGCTGATGGTGGGCCTGCAGGGGGCGCCGGACCTGGCACAGCTTCAGATGTTGGAGTTCGGCCGAGGGTTCGGTTACAAAGTCCCGCTCAGTATCGGCATGCAGAGCGTGGGCAGCACAGTACTCAAGCAGCTTGTGAGTTGATCGTGGGGGGGGGGGGCAGCTAAATGCTAATCCTCGCTAACGCTACTCTCTCACAAACATACTCCCACAACAAAAACAACGATTTGGAGTGCTCCGAGTGACTGGTTGACGTTGTGTCATGACAGGACACTGTGTCCAACCGCGAGTGCTGCAACGTCATGTGCAAATGTTCAGGACACGAAGGCATCCGCGGATCTCGGGGTTCCCTGGGGTCAAAGGTTAGAGCATCGTTGTCGTCGCAGTCTTCATCATCATCATCGTCAGCTCCTTCATGTGATGTGTTTTGTTTTTTTCAGGGTCGCTCAGGGCTAGTGGGTTACCCCGGCTTCCCAGGAGAGGAGGGCGTTCCCGTAAGTGAACTCATCTTTTGTTTCTCATTTTGTTCCTTTTTTCCTTCAGTGCCTCCCTCCATTCCTTTCTTCCCTGGCTTTCCTGCCTTGATTTTTCTTCCAATGTCTTCCTTCTTTCCTTCCTTCATTCCTTCCGTTTGACTTTCCTTCCTTGCCGCTTGCTTTTCCTCTCTCCCTTTTTTCTTCCATCCGTTTTTTCCTTCCTTCTTTCTAGCCTTCCTCCCATCTTTTTCCTGTCTTGTGTCCTTTTGTACTTTCTTGCTTTTCCTTTCCTTCATTCAAAAGAAGCCAGGAAGTTGCATCCATGCTGAATGCACGGAAGTCCCAATCCTTCCTTGCTTCCTTCCTTTTCTCCTTTCCTTCCTCCCTTCCATTCTTGCTCCTGTTTTTCCCATTCCTTGCCTCATCCCGTTTTTTGCTCCATCCTTCCTTGCATCCTGGCCTGTGTGCTGAAGGTTCAGCCTTGGTGTCGTTATGTTTCAGGGTGAGCGTGGCAGTCCTGGACCCAGTGGACCTCAGGGTGTTCAGGGCTGTGCTGGAGTCCGAGGATCAAAGGTACTTCTTCTGTTTGTGTGTGTGTGTGTGTGTGTGTGTGTGTGTGTGTGTGTGTGTGTGTGTGTGTGTGTGTGTGTGTGTGTGTGTGCGACACCACAGAATGGTATATGATGAGCCTCAATGGTGTGTTTTGTTCTGTATTCAGGGGTACCGAGGCCTGCGAGGTAATCGGGTAAGTGATATTCACAAGATGACGTCGTCCCATAGCAGGAGGTTCACTTTGACGGACGTCACATGACTTTTCTGGCAGGGGGAGGACGGAGAAGTCGGACTGGACGGCGTCAACGGAGACCAGGTAGGCATTCGGATGTCCTCATCATCATCATCAGCCCCATCATCATCATCATTATTAAGTGTGATGAAGGCTCATACCTGTGTTTGTGCACACAGGGCGTGTCAGGACAAGATGGTAGTCGAGGAGAGCGAGGACATCCCGGAAATCCGGTAAATTATACACGGACATGATGTGTGTTTGGTGTCGTTTAGTTGTGCGTGTGGAAATGCCCTGGGGTCATGTTGACCTTTGAACTCCTACCAGCTGATTGACAGGCGTACTATTGTTCGTCCCACAGGGTATTCCCGGTATCCGAGGGGAGGCGGGGCTCAAGGGACAGCGAGGCTTGAGAGGAGATCCGGTGAGATGAGCGCCCCCTTTGTAAAGACCACTCAGGTTGCGGGTCACATGACGCGCGTTCTCACGTTTTGTCAGGGAGAACCAGGACGGGACAACACCGTGCGGGGACCCAAGGGAGACGTCGGAAATCCCGGATTACCTGTCAGCAATCCCACAATGAAATCCTGTTGCTGAGATGAGCAGAATGACATGTGGACATTCATGTTTCGCCATTTGCCTTCCTTCCTTCCCTCTTTTCATGCCTCTATCCTTTCTTCTCTCCTTCCTTTATTGCATTGCGTCCTTCTTTGGACCGTTTGTTCCTCTTCATCTTGCATTGCTTCATTTTTTTTTCCCTTCACATCTTCCTCTATCCTTCCTCCCTTCTTTCCTTTCCTCTTCCTTCCTCTCTTTTTTGTTCCTTCATTTCTTCCATTGATGCTCAATTTCCTTCATTTGTTCCTTCTTTCCTTCCCTATATCCTTACTTCCTTCTTTCCTTCCTGCCTTGTCTCTTGCTTTCCTTCTTCCCCTTCTGTGCACAGGGAGAACCAGGACAAGACGGGAGGGCCGGAGATGCTGGAGGTCCTGGGAATGCCGTGAGTTTTTTTTTTCTTTAGACTATCGCGATTTTATCAATTCGTCTCACGCTGAGTGTGTGTGTTGTGTATTAGGGTCCCGACGGAAGACGAGGACCCCTTGGAGAAAAGGTGAGAGATGGCCCATAAAACCCACGATCTGCTTTTTGTCACGAGACTCACACTGACAACTGTGTGTGTGTGTGTGTGTGTGTGTGTGTGTGTGTGTGTGTGTGTGTGTGCATGCGTGCGTGCTCCCCCAGGGTGCTGCAGGAGCTCCTGGTGATCCTGGTGTGTCAGGAAGTACTGGTGCTTCAGGTCCTCAGGTGAGTAACAAACAGGAAGTGAGGTCAGCGTTATAATGATACTTCTTCACTGATTTTCGATGCACGTTTAGGGTCCCAGAGGGGTCAGAGGTCAACCTGGACCAAGAGGGATCCCTGGACTTCCTGGGCCACAGGTAACCCGAACCAGCCGAGCCGTCACCACGGCGCCATGTCCGTAAAAGTTGGACAAATGTACACTAAGAAATATCCTTGTGGTGTCCCGCAGGGAGGACCGGGCTCAGCGGGAGGGGCGGGCTCCACGGGAAGACGCGGTGGTCACGGTCAGAAGGTGAGCCAATGACAGCTTCCCGTTGGCATCATGTGATGTCACTGTGGTAACGATAATGTTTGTCACGGAAGGGACAACCTGGAGATCCAGGCGTGCGAGGAGTGCAAGGGACGCTGGGACCACGTGGCACGCCGGTGAGTGTTTGTAGGGGGAACTTCCTGAGCATTAACATCTACTTAAAATAAATGGGATTGAATGGTGAGCTGTCATGATGTCGTTCACCAGCATGTAAACAAATAAGGCTTGTTCAGTGCGTGGGAATTAATACCTGTTCGTCGAAATGTGCCTTGACCTTAACGCGACTCGAATGAGAACAGGCAACACATACTGTAAAATGACGTGTCATAGTGTTTCGGTGTGTTTACATGTGTCATGTGTCACATGTCAAGAGTGCAGCTGCGCTTTTGTGTACTCGTCATGTAAACTGTTGATACCTCCTCCAGGGTCAGGATGGCAGAGATGGATATGGACCAGCTGGACCCAAAGGGATCAAGGTGACCAGGCGACATTCCCGTAAGATAACGCACACTCTTGCAAACTCGTGCTGACCTCAGGTTGCGTGTGTGTTTGTGTGTGTGTTCTTTCGTGTTGGTGTGCTTGTCATGTCTGTTAACTCGTGCATGCTTGTGTGTGTGTGTGTGTGTGTGTGTGTGTGTGTGTGTGTGTGTGTGTGTGTGTGTTTATCCTTTTCTTGATGTGTGTTTATGTCTGAGCATGTCTGTTTGTGTGTATAATACATGAATTTTAATGTTTCTTTGGGTGTGTGTGTGTGTGTGTGTGTGTGTGTTATTTTTGCATGTGTCTTTCTTGTCTTTCTATGCGCATGCATGTGCATGTTTTTGGATTTGTACATTTGTGTGCATGTGTTGGTGTGTGTACGTGTCTGTGTGTGTGTTTTCTTGTGTCTGTAGGGAGATCCAGGCTTCCCCGGTTATCCCGGTTTAGTGGTGAGTACGTTCATCCGCACTGAGAGAAAGTCTTTTAATGTGAAATGACGCCTGAGGAAGTGCTAACTGGCCACGCCTACTTTTTTTTTTTTTTTTTTGCTCTCAGGGTGAGAGCGGCCTGCAGGGTCCTAAAGGTCTCCCGGGGCGCAAAGGCAACCAAGGTCGCGGGGTGAGTCACCACGTGAACCTGCACGCACCCATCATACAAATACATTTGCAGCTTGGATGCACATACCTCAGGTCCAAAATTTCCAAGGTGGATAAATGGGCACAATGTTCACTGACACTGACTCCACCTTGCAGCGGGCTCTTCGTTTGTCAGACGTTTCTTCTCAAGAATGAAGTTGCCGGTGACTTTTGTGAAAAAAAAATAAATAAATAATAAAATTTTTAAAAATAGATCCTCAAGTGTTCCGAGACTGGTTAAACATAGGGACCAAATCACTGACTGTGCTTTTGTAAACTAGCTCCTCCCTTTTTGCAGCCATGTTGTTAGTGTCAGCAGTGCATGTCAGCGTTCAACTAAGGAAGCTACAAAATATATATATATATATATATCATGAGAAATAAAACCACATAATGGATCAAATTTGTAATTTGACCCAAATTTTTTTTTAAATCGATGAAATAATTGCTGTGACCCCATGCAGGGCAACTCAGGTCGCACTGGACAGGCGGGTCAACCTGGAGAGCCCGGCTACGAGGGACACAAGGTGAGAGGCTGACCCGTCCTTTGACATTACGGCAGTGATTGAATTAATCCTCAATGAATGGAAGGAAACGACTGAATGAAACAATGAAAACATGAATAACTTGACAAATGAATGAAAAAAAATGAATAAATGAAAACTTGAAAGATTGCATGAACAAATAAAAGAATCACTGACAGAATAAATAAAGAATAGAAATATGAATGACTGACAGAAATAAGTGGTGAGTGAAGACATGGTTGAATAACTTCATGAATGGCAGGATGAAACAAAATACATTGAAAATAAATTCAACCTTTTCAGGGACAGTCAGGTTATCATTATTGGTGCCTAAAAATGGTTAATCAATTAAAGAATGACAAATAATGAACAGTTACTGAATGGAATCATGAGAATGAACGAAGCAAAGAAATAAGCCTATGGAAAAAAAAAGCCCACACGATTGACAGGAAGAATGAAGGACTAAAAGAACGACTGAATGAATGACGTCATCTTTCCTCGTCACCCACAGGGCCCACGAGGTCCCGCCGGGGGTAAAGGGAAGACGGTACGTGTTGGGCTCACCTCACTGTCAACTTGTTCGTTGGCTGTGTTTGTGTCAATCGTGTTTATTTTGTTGTCGTGTCGCCTCGTCAGGAATGCGAACTGATCACGTTCATCCGAGACAACTGTGGTGAGTTCAGTCTCGGCTAGCCACGCCCCCCGTGTCACGTGTT